GAATCAGTGTTTGTGATGATGAGGAAAATATGACGTGTACATGCAAACAAATGATGATGTCATGATGCGAGAACGTCAGAGACGCTACAGAGCTCCCCTCCTAGTGAATGAGTAATGAGCGATAACTAGCGCGATAAAGTGAGAGCAAGCAAATGGGATAAGCGAGAGAGTGTCAGAAATAGGCGGGAAATCTGACTTGACGACCAGCTCGTGTTTGGCGTGGCGGAGGCACGTCGAATGCGAGCGATGGCGTCGGCTTGGTCGGATGGCAATGGTCGACAGACTGGTTGTCATGGAATGCGGGTTTGAGTCGGTCGATGGATACTGTGTCGGAGCGGCCGTTGAGGTCGAGGCGGAAGTACTTATCATGACGTTCCAGGACTCGGTGTGGACCAGTGTAAGGACGTTGGAGGGGCGTTCGTGTTGCATCTGTGCGAATGAAGACATGAGAGCATGTCGAGAGGTCAGCTGGAATGGACGGATGCTGGGTGGGTGGCTTGCGGGGTTGTGTAGGGCGGAGCTCGGACATGGCTTGTTTGAGGCGGCTGACATAGGACGTCGGATCCGGAAATGGCTCAGGCTCGTCAGTGAGGAAAGCACTTGGCAGGCGGAGGTGGCAACCGTAGACCATTTCTGCAACTGAGCAGTTGAGGTCAGCCTTCAGGGAGGAGCGAATGCCGAGCAGGACTAGTGGCAGATGTTCCGTCCAGCGCTGTGGATTGTCGGAAGCTCGGAGTGCAGCTTTCAGTTGTCTGTGAAAGCGCTCTACCATGCCGTTGGCAGCAGGGTGGTAAGCCGTTGTACGAATGCGAGATGTGCCAAGTAGTGACATGAGCGATGACCACAGGGATGACTCAAATTGGGCACCTCGGTCGGTTGTGAGCACAGTGGGAACACCAAATCGGGCGACCCAGGTGGCAACAAACTGGCGAGCGACGGTTTCGGCTGTAATGTCGGGAATAGGTACTGCTTCGGGCCAGCGAGTAAAGCGATCTACCATCGTCAAGAGGTAGCGAGACTCACTAGAAGATGGAAGCGGGCCTACGATGTCGACATGGACATGGGAGAAACGGGCATCAGGTTGCTTGAATGCACTTACGGGAGATGTGGTGTGGCGTTGAACTTTAGACTGCTGACAAGCGTGGCAGGTACGACACCACTCACTAATATCCTTGTTCATCGCGGGCCAGACGTAGCGAGCTGTAATCAGGTGCCTGGTAGCGCGGGTACCAGGGTGGGAGAGGCCGTGAAGCGAATTGAAAACAGCACGGCGCAGCTTGGCAGGTACATACGGGCGGGCAGACGCAGTAGAGGTGTCACAGATGAGCGAGTGATCAGTCATGGGCAGAGCTATAGATTGCCAGCATAGTGAAGTGGATGGATCCTTACCAGGACTGGGCAAGTCTGGATCATCTTGTTGAGCGGCGGCAAAGGAAGCTGTGTCAATGGCAGTGATGGCAGAGACGGGCTCATCGGGTAGGTGGCATCGTGACAGTGCATCAGCGGCAGCATTCTGAGAACCCTTGACATGACGAATATCTGTCGTGAACTCAGCAATGTACGACAAATGGCGCTGTTGACGCGGGCTGTGGGTCTGTGAACGGCTGTGGATGGCATGTGTCAGAGGCTTGTGATCGGTGCACACATGGAAGACACGCCCTTCCAGGAAGTGTCGGAAATGCTTAATGGCTAGGTAAATAGCGAGGAGCTCTCGACAGAAGGTGCTGTAGCGTGTCTCAGCAGGCTTTAACTTGCGTGAAAAGAAGGCAACAGGATAACACTCACCATCTAGCTCTTGTTGGAGGACGGCACCAACAGCAATGTCTGAAGCGTCGACCATCAAGCTGTAGGCGGCATCCGGGCGAGGATGGTGAAGTGTGATGGCCTCAGTGAACGCAGCTTTGACATCATTGAAAGCAGCGATTGCCGAGTCGGACCAGACGAGCGCGCCTTTGGTGCGGTGGCGTTTCTCAAGCATAGCGTGCAGAGGTGCGAGCTTAGCAGCAAGATGTGGCTGAAATCGGTGATAGAACGTGACGAAGCCGATGAACTCACGGAGCTTACGAACACTAGCTGGCTGTGGGAATTCACGAATGGCGGTCATGCGAGCGTCGAGAGGTCGGATACCTGAGGCAGTCACGTGATGTCCCAGGAAGTCAAGCTCATCCTGGCCGAACTGCGACTTCCGGACGTTGATCAAGATGCCATGTGAAGCAAGGCGGGAGAATATGCAGCGAAGGTGGGCCATATGTTCAGCGGGTGAGGCGCTAGCAATGAGCAAGTCATCCAGATATGCAAAGCAGAAGGGAAGGTCTGAAACTACCTGGTCAATGAAGCGTTGGAATGTCTGGGCTGCGTTGCGAAGGCCAAAGGGCATGCGGACAAACTCAAACAGTCCAAAGGGGGTGGTGATGGCAGTTTTCGAGATGTCGTAAGGGTGCACAGGAATGTGGTGGTATGCACGGACGAGGTCAATCTTAGAGAAGATGATCTTGTCATGCAGGTGGGACGTGAAGTCTTGAATATGCGGGATGGGATAGCGGTCGGGGATCGTGCAGTCATTCAAGGCTCGGTAATCACCACAGGGTCGCCAGTCACCGGATTTCTTTGGCACCATATGCAGAGGGGATGACCATGCTCTAGAGGAGGGACGAATAATGCCTAAATCTAACATGTGTTGGAACTCACACTTAGCGACAGCAAGGCGGTCGGGTGCCAGACGGCGAGGCTTAGCGTGGACGGGGTGGCCATCTGTGACTATGCGGTGTGTCACATTGTGCTTGACAGGCGAGTCACCAGTGGTCGGTCGGACAAGGTCAGGAAACTCACTCAGCAGGGCAGAATACTCACTAGGGCTATCAGTGTCCAGCAGGTTGGTAGCGGAGGTGCTGACATCCGAGGCGGATCCGACAACGGCAAGTTGAGTAGTGGAATCCCGGAGACATCTGGCGGCCAGGTCGACAGTGAGCTGGAAGTGGCCAAGGAAATCCGCACCCAGGATCGGATAGCTGCCGTCAGCAACGACGAAGACCCATTTGAAAGTGCGTCGGAGACCTAAGTCTAAATCTAGCAGCTGCTGACCGTACGTGGCGATGCTGCTCTGATTCGCTGCACGGAGACGAGGACTATTGCGATGAACACGACGAGACAGAGTTACGAATGACGGAGGAAGAACACTGACGGCGGCGCCGGTGTCGACAAGGAACTCGACGGACTGGGAGCGATCCTTGACGAATAGTAGGCGACCGGTAGCGGTATTCGAGGGACCAACCACACTAGCGGTCGCGACTAGTGGCTGGCCTTCCCGTTTCCCGACAGGAATCGGCAGGGGTCTCGGCATTTGTTCGCCTTCGCACCGAACGCACGGTGATACCAGCAAAGGTCGTCGTGATTGTCACGGCCGGGAGACCTGGAGGCACTTGGGTGGCGTGACGGTGGCCCGGGACTACGCTCTCGTTGGCGGCCACGCTGGGAAGGGGCACCGGTGTCACGGGTCATCACATTCACAGCGGACGTCAGCTTGGCGAGTTCAGCTCGGAGCTGGGCCATCTCAACCCTGTCAGCGGTGCAGGCCTGTTCCGCATCTGTGGACGCTGTAGATCTACATGATAAGGCCGTACTAGACCGAGCAGGGGCTGCACTCAGAGCGTGAACACTTGTACCGGTGAGTGGGGTTGAGCACGTGCTATCAACCATCTATTCTTGTCAGCAAGCGCGGCGAGGTCGGCCAGGCTGAGGCACCAGTCACGGGCAAACGCTGTACAAACAGCTCGCGCAGGATAGTCGGGTCTAGAGACTTACTGCCCGAAAGCGAGCGGAAGCGGAAGAACCAGCGTTGCTGGACATATTGCACTTTACTCACGTCGGAGGTCACCAATTTAGTAGTCTAGATACAGTGCAACGAGTGTTAGTTTCCAAGATCTTTACAAGACTGGCGAACACTAAATGTCATGAAGAAAGTGAAGAGAAAGGAGGTTTATATAGGAAAGAGATTGTGATAGAAGACTGTGCAATGAAGTTTGTTGTTTTGTTAGATATCTGACGTGTGCTGTTTGGAAGAAGTGTTTGGATGCAAACAGAACTTACAAGAGATGAGTAAAGACTACTTTTCTACAATAGCGTTGTAGGCGAGGAGTGCGTAACATCAAAAGATGTCGTAATGTGTATTGGAACTATGCTAGCCAAACATTACGTAATTATTATGGTAGCGAAGTACGTGTAGTAGGTATTACAATGTGTGCGAGAGTATGGTGAATCAGTGTTTGTGATGATGAGGAAAATATGACGTGTACATGCAAACGAATGATGATGTCATGATGCGAGAACGTCAGAGACGCTACAGGTTTACTGAAAATGTACACGTTCGTAAGGTTTGCCACTACAGTCGATACCAGGGTACATGTACGTGTGTTTTCAGACTGTTCCGATCTGCAGCCATGGGCAAGGTTGAATACTGGTATGTGTGTGTGTGTAGCCATACATTAGTGGTGACAATGGAACAAAGAAACTAGGGAATGGTTAACACGTTCGTATTCTACTGAACCAAGCGACATTTAGTCTTATAATTACCAAGAAGCATGCAGTTTGAATGGGAGTTATCTAAGCCCATCATCGAGAAACAGAGGGTACCAGGTTCAAGATTCAAGTCCTTGCTTGGACGCGGATGTCGAGTAAAGATGTTTTCCAGCCTTTGCTGTGACCCACAGTTAATTGGGAACCCGTAGCCTGGTACGAGGGAAATATGGGGGCAGCGATTTGTATTTTCGGTCTTTGACCACTTTGCTGATGGGCTGATCCACTCTCTCCTACCGCTTTAGGAGCCGCATCTGCGCTCCACATCTTTCACAGCGCGGTGGCGGTCCTACTGATGCTGAAAACTCAGTGTAACTGAGTCTCGAGCGAACTGTGAAATTGTGTTAGCCAAAAAGACAGATAAATGTACGTGAAAGTGCCCCTGGTACTGTCCTGTAAAGATCCCCCTCTCAACACCACACGTAACGTGATCTAGAAACATTGCCGCTTTAAAAAGGCCGAGAATAGAGGAGAGGCGGCAACATTATTTGCACTGCAGTACAGATAATTACAGATATATTTGGAAAACAGAAGCTGATTAGCTTCCCTAAAAAGGAAAATAACTAGCCACATAGCACGTATTACTAGTCACCAAAATATGCAAGCTTAAAAGAAAGAAGGAATCAAAGTGTGTCTGCTGTACCTCTGAGTTGTATGGTTCTACGCGATCTTCAGACACCAGCCTTCCTCCAAGCGTTTGTTAGAGACTGAATCACTCTGGACATGCATGTAGGTGTATGGAGCACTGTCATGAGCAACCACAACTGTCTCTGAGTGTTACCAAATTATATACGTTGTATAGGCAGTACAGTGGAAAGGAAAGAGGGAAGGGTACACTATCCGTGAACAATGACAGCAGTAGTAACGCAGAGAAGACTAGCAGTAGGAAGCACATCACTTGGTTTCAGATAAAATGATGCACATTGTATGACCTACAATCATGCATGTTACGGAGCACAAAACACAAATGACGTGGCAGAAGTCGTGTGATCTGTTGCTACGGGTAGTTGACGACCACCTGGCCCCCAATCAGCGGCGCAACGTCCCGATACTGCTGGACGAAATAAACAGCATGAGAAACCAGAAATGTTGGTTCATTTATGCTTCAAATCCAGATGTACACAAATTCAAACATAAACAACGCCTTGTATAGTGTGAAACTCCCCTCAACAAACAAACAGCCACAAGAACAACAACTATAACAAAAATAACAACAACAACATCAACATCAATTTCATTATAGTAAAATTGGAGCTTTCTTTCCCCTCTTGGACCCTTCCAAACCTGAGTCTTCCAAGTTGGAAAGTTATTGGTTTTGACCTTGGAGAAGTGTTAGAGGTAGGTTTCTGTTCGTTGAATGTCCCAGCAGTCCCTGTCAGTTTTGTGTCATTTTTCGCACTCGCTGGCCGTATTATTATTATTATCATGATCTGGATACGTAGGTGGACAGTTAGTCACAACTCGTATCATGTTGTCCTTCTAATTTATTACCTTAATAGGGTACTTGTACAATTTAAGAAGAAAACATTTAAAAGATTATTGTGAAGAGGTTATTTTTTAAGAAGTCCGAGTAGAAGCACACCAAACGGGTACTTTTAGAGAAGGGGGGGGGGCAATCAGGAAGTGAGAAAACCTAGAAGAAGGAATCTATACCTGTGGATATGAGATTAAATATGCCGGCTATCTCTATCTTTCTTTCTTTCTATATGTCTATCACACACACTCTCCCTCTCTCTCTCGATCGATTCTTCCCCCTCTGACCAGTTTTTTTACTCATTTTTCAATAACGTGGCTGGCTCACCTGGAGCACAGGAAAACACAACATGATGGGGACGCTTCCTTACCGCCACAGGTGGAGGCCGATGATGGAAATGGCTGATTGTTAGCGGAACAATAGTAACCGAGGCCGCCAACCAACACACATAGTACATCGCTCCGAACCTCAGTCCGTTCTCTAGATCGTTCACCACGTAGAACATGGAAGCTGCAAATCCAGTTCCCAAAATGGAGCATACTGTATTTTGAAAAGGAAAGCAGAGACCAAGAAACAAATTCGTCAAGTACTAGTACTCCAATATCAATATACTACTTGAAAGCGAACTTAGAAGTTGCGACTTCGGTGGTAATAGTCATGACTACTTGAAAGCATAGCTGTAACGCGTGAGAGTAGGTGTAATTTGGTTCACCGTGGGCTTATTCGTCACGACGGGTGCTTAGTTTATATTGGTTTGTAAAGTAAAGTAAAATAATTTCAAGGTCGCGTGACAGTTGGCTGGAGGCCGGGCTTTCCCCATATGCCGCATAACGTGCATGTATATGTATGCGCCTTGAGTCTCGAGGTTAGTGGCGCTCCTACGAATTCGGAACACTTGGTCTAACCGAATCTTCTGGCCACCGTGCAATTGAATTATTCATAAGTTGATTGATGGAAAAGGGGAAAGCCTTGACTGTCACCACCAGGAATCGAAACAAAGACCTTCGTTTGAAGCCAGCGATGCTCTAACCACTGAGCTATGGTGTAGCTGTCATCGCAGCAGAGACCATTCAACATTTTGCAGGCTTCGAAACTTACAATTGCATGCATAGGGTAGATACAGAGCTCACTGATTTGTCAGTTTAGGGCACTCTGGCAAGGTACGTTCGGGCCTGTTTTCCATCTGGGTCTTATTTTTCATTGCTATCAGGTTCGGCCTCATTTTCTCTGTGCTGGCGGATGAGTCCACAACGAACGAAACAGTTCTGTCTGCAGATTTAGTAATTACATGTATATTAAAGTTATCTGATGGAGAGCCAATGATTAATTTATAGAAAAGAAAAAAGGACCAAGGAACGACAAGCAACTGTAAGCTGTTAGCCAGTTAGTTGTTGAACGTCAGTACCGTCGGTCAGTGTCGTGCAATGGTATCACAAGACCTTATTGTTTAATAGCTTGTGGTGTTAGTGGACAGTCTAGCGTAACTTGATCCTTTTTCTTTTCTATAAAATAATATTTAAAAAAAGTCTCTATCTTCTTGGTTGTGGTGGACTTACGTGCAAGTCCTAGCATAATTCTGGGCACCAAGAACAGGTTGGATCTATGAGGATTCGGTGACGCGAGTCGCATCTCTAGGAAAATTGAAGAGAAAAATCCAGCCCCGAGAGCCAGTGCGCTAAGAATGCATCCAGCCTCCGCAGCTTCCAGCCAAACTGTAGAGATAGGAAAAGTAAAGAACGATCGCATCATTGCCCCTATACTTATAACATGATTTGTTCTACGTATAATCACGCAGTTGGACACCATTGGAAACTAACGATGTTAACTGGCAAGACGGCATCCACACCAAGAACATTCTACTCGTATTAGCAAACACATGCAATGTTGGTACCCCTGTCTGGTGATAGCCGCTGCGTGAAACTGTGAGCCACACCAATGTGGGTTTAGTTTCCTCCCTTACTAAACGTGTAAGAAGATATGCACCTGGGGCACCAAGCACTCTGTCCAGCTGTAGCATAGCGCTGCAAAACCAGAAAGCATGCTCAATGGGTAAGAGTATTGGTGGAAAATGGAAATGTCTTTTTCCTATCGTTGCGTGCAGCTACGCGTTGGGAATGTGATTCAGCCTTATTGCGACATGGAGTGGACAGATGTGATGCTGGTTTTGCACCCATCCCGATGCCACTTATGTAAAATATCTGCAACTAGGATGGTAGTGGAGGCGGTCAAGACAGGGCTAGGGCTTGGACTGGAGAGAGCGCTTACGTAAGTTGGGGTAGAGTAAATTCTTTGGTCACTACTCTTCTGCAGCAAATCACAACAGAACCTACCAGGAATATTGTCATCATCATCATCATCGACGTTGCGTGCTAAAAGGTTGAGAGCCACGCAACGTTTCACATGACCGAGCTCCCCACCGGATCTCGATATGCAAAACCTCCAAAGCCCAACACTAACAGTTTCTTTTTCATCCCCGAGTGTTGCGGACGCTACATACCACCTGGGGACAGCTGTAACATGAAGAACAAGAACAACAAACGAAGAAGATCAGCATTCGCTATGTACATAATGTTTATCTATATCACATTTCCAGGGCTTTTTGTACTGGGAACACAGCCCTACAAAGAGACATGTCGAGATAAACACATAACAAGACACAGGGGATGTAGGGACGACGTGCCGATAGACAGGGAGCAACTCGACCGACCAGAGGTCTTGACGATAGCGTTGCAACCTTGCAGCGAAAACAAGAGGGCATGTACATGTACATTATATCGGTAATAACACAAATCATTGTCATCAAACCGTCACTTTTACACGAACTGGATCCGAATGCGCCATCCGATTGGCGTCATTGTCCATGATTTCGTTATTCATAGCACTGCACCCTCGTATATTGATCTGTACGTAATTTGTCAGCATCTGTACACATTCAGTAACTTTCGAAGATAGCGTGGTCCAAACTTCATCAGAGACTTACTGATCACAGGATTGTTGGGCTCTTGGGCTGAGAGATCGAAAACCATTCCTATGAGTGAGTTCGCTATCCTAAATAATTGCTCAATCTGCGGCCAGAACTATTTTCGTCCTTTGTGGACTACTAGGCGCAGCACAGCTAAAATGAGGCCGAACCTGATAGCAATGAAAAATAAATTTTCCAAAGCCATAGTATTTATACCAGGCCCGAACGTACATGTATCTTACCAGAGTGCTCAAACTGACAAGTCAGTGAGCTCTCCATAACGCAAACAGCAAAGGCTCTACCTCACACGAGAGTGCTCAACTGCTAAAAAGAGCAGGAGCGAAAGAATTATCAGTCTTTCTTATGTCCCGATGGCGTTTGGATGTAATAAGGCTGGCTTGGCCGCCTCATCTACGATCAACTGGGTACTCACTGCTCGGAGCGAGGATAATATGGATACAGATAACGCGGTTCGATCTCTCGTCGGGAATTGGTCGTCAGACTTGTCACCTCATCTTCTCCGGAATGGGCTTTTGCCACGCTGGTATAATCAGGAATGGTGGTGGCCTGACAGGAGCGAACTATCTTTAATTAAGCTGGGTGTGTTTCTCAACACATAAAAGTAATCCGGTGGTAACGCGGATGTGCCAACTAATACCGGTATTACTTTACTTTTGAACAACAGCATAAAGGTGATGTGAACCATGTCAAATGAAAAAAACAATGCTTCAGTGCCCTGTTTGCAACTGCCGCAACACCAATCAATAGTTCATGACTCTTTTTGCCGGAACGTTTAGACAAACTCATTTTTGCTTACCAGAGAAGGCCACCACCATTGCAAAAGCTGTGGCAATCGTCCCGAGAAGCAGGATGAAGCGAACTACATTGCTTGCCATCTTCAACGTTCAGCAGGCGTTGATACCTGTGCTATGGTGAGGGTGTCTAACGCGATGTAAACTTCTCCCTGGACCAAGGCAGTCTAGGTGTGCTCAACACTGCTGCACTGGTACAACGCTCAAGGGATCAAGACAACCGATGTTGCCAGCCACTGCGGATTTCCACTGCTCTTGCTCTTGCTTTCGCTGACACGTTTATGAAAGGAGGATTTAGTACGCCCGCATGTGCTTATGATAATACTCCCGGACTCGCCTGGTAGGTCTATCTCGGGTACATTGTCTGATCCCTAGATGAATGCATGTCACTAAAGTATGGATCGTGTGTATCAGTGCGCAGCGTTCTGCTTGTTGTACACCTGCACAATGCGAATGCATCGTGACTTCTCAAGACTGGCTGCGCTGGCCATCACGGGCACGCTTCTCACAGCCTTCCTTGGCTCTCCGTATCATTCTCAGCCTTCTTGCTCCTGGCTATGCAGATGACACAGACTCGGGTACTATAGTAAGCGTCCTCTCGAACTGGTAAGTTAACATGTACACGGCAGTCAACTTAGTGATCAAGGAGATAGCAATGCGAGTTTTCATACCATAATGGTAAGTGCTATGATAGACTAGTAACTGCCCTCACCTCAATTTTACCAAACTGAGTGTCTAGGTACTCAAGCCTACTTGGCATGGGGGACATTCAGTTGCCAAAAGATGGGGTTTTCAAGTGTTCGCAGAGGCCACCAGCCAGTCTCAGGGGGTTCGGTCAACAGGCTATTGAGGCCACTGAGCAATTAAGTAAGCAGATTGGTTTCATTGACGGTACCACCAACACGGAAATCGATTCAAGGATTCACTACGACCATATTCACGCACATCCTTGGAGATAAGCCCGTCTACCTGCAATGCACTCCAGCGAACTGAGTTGCATGCACGCACAGCAAGGAAAGCAAATGCACCTTGGTATTTAATTAACCCTAGCAGAAATTCTATCAATGGTTCCGGCAGCATGCCCTTAACCTTGGTCGGGTTATACTGGGCCAGGAAAGAGTACGTAATAGCGTTCATGCAGATGTACATGTACATGTATTATCAAGCTGCTAACACAATGGAACAACCAACGAGAATGGATATAGACTACTCGCTTAAGAATATACCGATACCTACGGAGAAGGAGTACAAGAAGAGCCTCATCGTGCGAGTTGAGGAGGTGATTAAATAAGAGATTGAGATGGAAGGCCTTTTTCTATCTAACTGTGAGGCCAAGGAGATCGCAACAGCGGGAACCGGGGAGCGCATGATTTTGTCATCCCTTTTCCTCGCGCTATTGAAATGTACCTCCATCACCTTTGGCCCCTTCTCCCCTTCTCCCCTTCTCCGTATATATTCTAGTGATTGTAAGTCTTGGTAATATGCTGTCTGATGAAGTGAGTTGACACGAAACTTGGAGTAACAGCGGAATGAGACTTGTTTGATTCATTGCTGTGTAATATTTGTATTATGTACATGTAGACATGAAGTGTATTTCGAAAAGGAAATGGCATACATATACTTCCGAATTAATAGTATGCCAGTCATACATGTATGCCGATATGGCAGACGTAGAGTATGTATACTTCGAAGTATTTTTTACATGAACGAGGTGGAAACAATAATTTCAAAATAGCCTTAAACAGGATACATGCATGCAGTCCTTGATGACTTCGTTGATGTGTGGTGAATGAAAAATGCCAGACTACAATCTTGATCATTTTATCTCAACTGCACATGCGGCGCTGATGAGTGCACAAAGAACGAAACAGTTCAGTCCGCAGATTGAGTATTATCTGTACACGTAAATGCGGGACAAGTATCTCCCCGCAATTGGAGTCGAAGTGGATAACAATTTATTGCGGATATCGCTCCCCTACAATGTACAGGGTTTATTGATAATGTGCATGTAGATTTCCTGTACGCAAGGCTTGCCACTGCAGTTGATGTCAGAGTACATGTACATAATGAGTGTGTTTTCAGACTGTTGTGAGCTGAAACCATGGGCCATGTTGAATATATGTGTGTCGCAAAACATTAGTGGTGAAAATGGAACAAAGAAGCTAGGGAACGATACTTAGAATCTAGGTTAACAAATTATGCTTCTACTGAACTCACGCTACATTTTAAAAGTCATAAAAATACCAAGAAGCAGCAGGTACAATAGAATTGTCTATGAACATGATCGGGAAGCAGAGCCAGAGGGTACCAGGTTCAAGTCCTGCTTGGAAGCGGAAGGATATTTTCCAGCGGTGCTGCGACCCTCAGTTAATTGGGTACTCGTGGCCTGGTGCGAGAGAATCATGGAGGCAACACATGGGATTTTCGGTATTTGAACAATTCTCTGATTGGCTGATCTACTCACCTCCTACCGCTTTAGGAGCTGCGTCTACGCCTTCGATCTTCTCAGGGTGGGGGCCTTCCTACTGAGGCTGAAAACTCACTCTAACTGAATCTCAAACGAACCGTGAAATGTTTATTTTAAGAATGAAGGTACGTAACGTTTCCATAAGGCTGTGCTGTAAGGATCCCTGCTCTCCATATCACACGTAAGGTTATCTAGTATCATTGCCGCTTTGCAGATGTCGAGAATGGAGGAAAGGCGGCAACATGGTGTGCCCTGCAGTACCGGAGTTACAAAAATGTACATGAAACAGAAGCCCATTAGTGTCCGTAGCAAGGAAATGTACTAACAACATAGCACGTAATACTAGGTTGTACTTACTAAATAAAACACAATTAATAAATTAGGAGAGAAGAAGGTGAAGTACGTAAGACTCGAGTAAGTGTGAACTAATAACAGGGGTATTGTGAGCTGCCTTCGGGAACGGACACGATTATTTACGTCTATTTTACTTAGCAGGGGTGGGTGAAGAAAAAAATAGAATGAGGAGGAGAGAATTAACGAAAGTGAAGTAAGAGACTATGAGAGGGTGCATTGTGAACTTTCAAAATAGAAGAAATCAAAGCGTTTGTGCTGTAACTCTGCGTTCCAGTTTTCTACTGATCATTAGAGCGCAACATGTCTTCCAGTGTGCGTACTAGGCTCTGCTGCTAGGTGTATGGAGCACTGCCACGAGCAAACACAACTCTGGTCGAGTGCTGACAAATGATAAATAGGCAGGGCAGTGGAAAGGCAAGAGGGAAGGCTACACTATCCGCGAACAATGAATGTGTAGCAGAGAACACTAGGAGTAAGTGGAACATCTCTTGGTTCAGAAAAAAATGAGTCGCATACGTAAAAATATGTATGTTATTGTGCACAAAACACAAACGCCAGAGCAGAAGTGATTTGATCTCTTGTTACGGGTAGTTGACGACCTCTTGAGTTTCCAGCAGCTGTGGACCCAGTCGATGCCGCTGGACACAATGAATAGCATTAGAATTGCAAAAAGGTTGGTCCATTAGTTCTTCAAATCCAGATGTATGCAATTTAAAACAAAACCGTCCCACCCACCTGTACGGTGTACATCTCCCCTCAACAAAAAACAACAATAAGAACAACAACAACAACAATCGCAGCAAGAGGAAAAACAACAAATAGTTCAAGGGAGCCTTCATCTGCATCAGCCATCTTAGCAACCTTGATTATGACGTTGCTGATGTTTATGACAGCAAGGGCGACAATATCAACCCCATGGTCAGGCTTGATCGTTTTCTCTCCATGGAGTGGTGTGAGAAGTAGGAAAGTCCTTTTCAACTTCCTTCATCTCAGCATGTTCGTTTATATGGTTTCCCATAATGTTCCTATCGCTCAGCTCACCCTCCCCGTTCTGCTGGTGTATTCTTCACCGTTTGAGTTTCTGATCGATTAAAAAATGAAGAAAAAAATGATGGCCTTACTGCCATTACTCGCTTTCGTGACCACAAGCACTAACCTCTAGCGTTAAGGCATTGAAGTGGAAATGACAGAGAATGCTGGCCATAATCGCAGCCCCTGTGGCAGCCCAGCACATGTAGAACATCGTCCCCAGCTCGCAGACTATGATTTCACAGAACAGCTCCGAGTAGTATGCGACCACGGATACGCCAGTCGCCCCGGTGAAGCATGCTGCAGGAAGAGAAAAAAATAGTGCGTACACAAATAGAAATAATGGGTTGGAACCAGTAACGGGACTCCATCAATACAACCTCGGTACGCTTCCTGAAAATCGAGATCCGAGTGTCAAATCCAGCTCATGTTGCCTCCCCCTGATAAAACACAACACGGGGAAATAATATGTTCTGAAAGACTGCACAACTGGAGTGAACGATGCAAACAGAAGCCAGCACTGGATGTCTTGCATTCCTCATACTCGGATACTGAGCCAGTAATAAAAATTAATGTAAAAAAGAGAAGAAACACATGAGAACGAGTTATGCAGCGACTATCCACGACTGTAACGAGATTATAAACGGTCAGAAAGTGCGATATTAGGGCACAAAACTGACAGGCTACTGAGACATTCAGCGACCCGAGACCTAGCTCTAACACATATCCAGTGCGCAAACTAACAGCCTTCCAACTTGGAAGGTTCATGGTTACGTAGAACCGAGGAGGGGAAGGTGAGCGCAGCGAAAATGTGCACAAGCTAAGTCCCGCGGCAACAAAGAATGCCGACTGTTACAGGACGATGATGAGACCAGTTAATAACATGACAAAGCGGTCTGACTACAATTCGAAGCAGCAAAGCAACACACCACCCAACCTAGGTGGGTCAGCAATATCAAAGATAAAGGAAAGGGGAAGCTTTGCAAAAAAGAATTGTACAAAACCGGACGCCAATATCTAACGGTGCTCCTCATGCATGACACTATTGTGGACGAGATGACTACAATAAAGTAGTTCCACACGACGTCCGTTTTGCCGTGTTGTTAGTGACGGCTCATCAGGTGTGCAAAATTTAAACTCGGATACTGAGCCAGTAATAAAATGTAAAAATGAGAAGAAAACCATGAGAACGAGTTATGCAGCAACTATTCACGACGATCCACGAGTTATGCAGCAACTATCCACGTTCTGACCGTTTATCATCTCGTTACAGTCGTGGATAGTTGATGCATAACTCGTTCTCATGTGTTTCTTCTCTGTTTTACATAACTCATACTAGTAGTCATTTGACGAAATGATTGGCCTCCACCCAAGATTTCATGAATAGCTATCATTACTTTTATGGCCAGCTGGCCTAAACGATTTGGGTCAAGAACGACCTGTGCCGGCCCGGCGTGAATGAAACTTGAACTGAAGGAGTCTTTTCTCTCTGGTTGCCGGCCTATTACGCCCGCTATCACTTGGTCCCGCTCTTTGGTGCCTCTGTGTACCGCTGTGTTTGACAAAACCACCAGATTGAGTGTGGAAATGCAGTGGTGTATTGGGTGTCAGCGAGTTGACGGGAAACGTGTTATGAATTAGGAAGCTGCGTGAGGTGTTCTTCAGAATTTAAAAGAGATCAGAAAATGAGTAATTGCAATACCAGCTTTAACAGACCATACCTCCTGCTGCTAGGAAGGACTTCGGCAGTATAAATATGACGGCAGATCGTTGAGGAGTCAAAGGGGGAATGCAACAGCAGCATTGCACTACCAATGCGGAGAGAAGTCCAAGCCAAAGGCATATGGCACTGAGAATAGAGCATGTTTCAGCACTTCGCCAGGACGCTGCAGAGAAAATTGTAGTCAACAGAAAACATAAATAAAAATAAATAAATTCGACGGGTTCGCGTACCGGGCAGGTCAAGAACAAGGAGTCGTACAACTCCCTGGTCAAGAACCACCTTTCCGCTTCCGTGGGACGCCACTACCCCATGATCAGGCGTCAGATGCGGCTCCTAAACGGTGGGGGAGGATAGATCAGATCCACCAACCATAGGCCAAAGGCCTAAATCCCATTCGCCACATCCACAGAAAACATAGCATGCATATAAATCACAACCCGAAAAAAAACATTTGGCATGGATAGACGACAGGTGACCTGATCAATTCTCATGATTTTGTATAGAATTTTTACAACGGACGCCCGTACTATTAAGATATCCGCTTTAATGCCATAAGCACATTTTGTGTTTGACCTCACCAGCATCTTCTCTCCTGCCACGTAAAGTGCTTACCTACCACCCCCCCCCCCCCCGCCCCTACCCTACCCCCTACCCCACCCAACCTACTCATAGTCTGGCTCACAAAATTCTCGCCCCTGAAAATGGTTTGTCCAATGCAAATGAGTCACATGGGTGCGAATCACTGGCGTACATTGCAAACATCGGCCTTAACACCAACTGAGCAATTTTCTGTTCTGTAAACGAAATTGTGTAATCAAGGAATGAGAGAATACATTTTACGAAAGGTCCAAGCTAGTTTAACTGAAAGCTGGTACATCGTAAGAAATATGGGGCGAGATGAGGTTCTTATCAAGTTACCTAGAACAATACAGAATGCCGCAGAAGGTAATATCTGGTATGGATCCACAGCTTACGTGGTACATCCTCGATTGACTCGTCAGGATGGCCGTAGATACTTGCGCACTGCGTTTTTTTGCCGTCTAAATCGAAGCAAACCCTCCAGAGCCCTATTAGGGTACGGAGCCTCTCGTCGTCAACCGTTCCGGTGTTTACAATCCAGGACGGGACAACTGGAGTAAGATACAATACAAACCCAAATTTTTATTTATTTTATTTTTTTTATACTATGTCCACAACCCTAGAAAGTAATAGAGGTAATAAAAGAGACAAAGACAAAAGACAAAGACAACAAAGGAGTAGTAGGTGCTACAAGAGCTGTGCTAGTCAGACGCAGTGCACTCCATTGCTCGAGCGTATTCCATCGAACTGCGTTTGACTTGCGATGTACAATAAAAACAAATACAACAAATATGCACAAAAGCTAAGTGGCGGAGCAATATTGGCCTATATTCAAGATCTCTGGTTCTACTTTTCTAGTCTTTTAAACCGCGATACTCTTCCTATAGTACATGATTGTATTGTTATGTTATGCACTAAGCAGGAAAACACCCAAATCACCTACACCTACAATGTGTGCGCACAACATAACTGTAGACAGTGTGGAGGAAGGAACGCACAATTCCTAGTAGGCCTGGTGATACGAGTAGGAGTCGTCCTGCCAAATTTTTGCTCTGCAGAAGGGTCAAGCGAACCAATAATAATTATTGACTGCTCCAGTATCCGGAACACAAGATGATTTGCATAGTTATAGTACACTGTACTGCCTTCTACTCCGCAAACGATAAAGCTCTTATAAGACGCTATCATGGGGCTGCTTGCCTGCCAAACTGACCAGACGATATGCATTTCCGCCTATTGTAATCTAATGGGCATGGCACAATGTAGGAGTATGTCGTGTAGACTAAACCACAGTTGGGGTGTCTTTTGCTTGCTCCACGTTGGTTCCGCCGCACAGGCCGTTGTGTGAAACTTACCGGAAGTGGCGATGACCATCCCGAGAGCGCCACCCGCAAGAATAAGTACCAGTAGAAATCTGGCTGTGTTTGCATCCATCTTCGCAGGTCGGTCGGAAAGTGGAAAACTGTTTGGAAGAGGGGAGTGAGGGAGAGAGATAGGGGGTTGAGAGGGTAGAGAGAGAAAGAGAGAGAGAGAGAGAGAGAGAGAGAGAGAGAGAGAGAGAGGGAAAGGAGATGAAGTTTCTGCTAGTAGACCAGGCCAACGCCTGTCGGCTAAGCGTTTATGCTAGAGACAGTAATATAGAGTACCTCACGAAATCCACAGCCTCGACGTAGTTGCGTGCTTAGAACAAGAGTTTTGTCACAAGAGTAAGAACACACTCGCTGGCTTCTTTGTATAACAACAGGATGGCCAAGGTGTGTGTTCCACAGCCGAGTAAAGCGCGATGATCGAAGCACAATAGAGGTTATGCGAATGACGTCACGAGGAGCGCCAAGGCGGCTGCGAGTGGCAGGGGTGGCAAAATGAAGTCGTTTCTGCTTGAACTATTTTTTACTAGTCTTTGAGAGGAAAAGTAAAATTTGTTGTTGGTTGTCGACATATCGTTCCTCAATTTTATTTTGATTTCCGCTGGTGTCTCGCTTGCTGAAGTTTTTAGCCTTCAACATGCCGAAGAGTTGTGCAGCCGTCGGATGTAGCAATCGTGCCGATCCTGGAACGGCTGTGAAGTTTTACAAGTTTCCTGTAGAGGACGAGCGGCGCAAACTATGGGTTGCGGCTATGAGACGAGAGAATTGGAAGCCAACTGACAGTAGCAGGATCTGTTCAGACCATTTCGTAGGCGCAGAGAAGAGCAACGATCCACTATCTCCCGCTTACGTTCCGAAACTTTTTGAACATGTCAGGACTCCTGTAAAGCGTAAAGCGGAGAGGGATTTGGTGGCATATGAACGCCGAGCGAAGCGGAAGCTGACGTTCGAGGAGAGCAAGACGCAGACACCAGTGAAAGTGGACGCCTCCGGGAATGACTTCACAGAGGCAATGGCAGATTTGCCTGGTGCCTATGGTGCAGAGGTAGAGTCTGATCCTGTAGCAGTCTCCAGTGTCTCATCGCAGACTGACATGGATATGGAGCACTTGACGCGGCTGGAGGAGACAAACAACTGTTTGGTCCTGGAAAGCAAACGGATGCCACACGCTCCAGGACAAGGTGACACCTTGTCAATCGAGTCGTTTGAGAAAGACAACGCGAAGGTGCTCTTCTACACTGGTTTGCAGTCTTTTGGGACCATGATGGGCATATTTGAACACGTGAGGAAGAGAGTTCCACAGCACCACCGCCACACTCTCTCTCTCTTCCAGCAGTTCTTGATTGTTCTCATGAAGCTTCGGCTGAATTGTCGGGACCAAGACTTGGCGTACAGATTCGGCATTCACCAGTCGACCGTGTGCCAGATTTTCCAGCGCTGGATCCGGGTGATGCATGTGATGCTGGGACCACTTGTAAAATGGCCGGAAAGGGACGAACTACGCAAAACTCTGCCACTTGAATTTCGTAAGCATTTCCCGGGCTGTGCTGTCATTATTGACTGCTTTGAAGTTTTTTGTGAACGACCTTCTGATCTGATGGCAAGAGCTCAAACGTACTCTCACTATAAAAGCCATAACACTGCAAAGTTTTTGATTGGCGTAGCGCCACAAGGTGTCATTACATTTATTTCGCATGCATGGGGCGGGAGAGCCTCAGACAAGTTCATCACAGAGCACTGCGGTCTGCTTAGTCACCTAAATCCGGGTGACCAGGTGCTGGCTGACCGTGGTTTCACTGTTGAAGACAGCGTTGGCATGTTCTGCGCAGAGTTGGTGATGCCCCCATTTACGAAGGGGAAGAAGCAACTCTCCAGGCTGAAATTGGACAGTGCTCGACAAGTGTCACGCGTCCGTATCCATGTGGAGCGAGTGATTGGAATGCTTCGCCAGAAATACACGATCCTCTCTGGCACTTTGCCCATTGCTTTCCTCATGCATGACGATAAAGCTACATCATGTGCATTCATTGACAAGGTTGTCACCGTCTGCTGTGCTCTGTAAATTACATCATGCCGCTTTGTCAGCTGTAACGATTGCTATATTATTATTATATTATTATTCAAATTTATTATTAACCCCTTGTGCTTTTTGGACTGTCTGGATATACCGGCAATTATATTTCTGTTTTACCTATTCTGCAGTTGCATGCGCATGTGTTCACCTCATTGACCTCGCTTGTTTCTAGTTTCTTTTGTCTGGCTAGCCAAGCTTGCTTGGTCATGGCAACGCCAACAGACTTACAATAATAGTAATAATAATGGCTTCTATCATCACTCACGACATGCCTCCGTTTCTTGTTGCATCAATATAATGACTCGTGGTCCAAATAGGGACAACACAATATAATAATTATGAATAGCCCTGAAACCCAACTTAGGGTGCTGGGTAGTGTGCGATGTACCATCAGATGTAGTATGCCCAGCACCAAAGAACAACTCAACTTATGCCAACATCACCCGGAAGAGACGTAAAGAGCGAAGTGTTTGATGTGTAATGATGGAGTTCCTCTGCTCACATGCATAAGCAGTGAGTGGTCTTCACGCATGTCCTGGGCACCACAAATACGAATCAGCATTATGGTCCTTCAGAGATACATGCAAGCAAAGAAATACAAGAAAGGTAACGGAAATCGTTGTGAAAGCCCAGCCACCGATTGTATGCACACACGTGGCAAGTGCAACAGCAAGTACCGTGGAAGGCACAGCAGAACAAGTTGAAAATGCAACTCTAGAAATACCAGAATAGCAGGCTCCATGAATATAATCACTTCTCAAATGCTTGAGACTTGGATTTACAAATGCTACGACAAAAATGACTATGTACATGGAAAGTTGGTTGCACCCCATACTAGAGGCCGAGCTTTTCTGCCGCCTTGACTGGACATTTGACTGACTCACGACTGCCATTCAGAAACTTGACAAACTCACGACTTCCATCCAGACACTTGACTGACTCACAACTGCCATCTAGAGCAGAGAAGAAGTCCCTCGAGCCCTCCTTCCGGCAAACCTGCAAGAAAGCACCACTCCCTGCTCAATACACAGTGTTTCGGGGAATTCACCCCTCATGCAGTTGAGCTTGAGTAGGCTGACGAACGTTGTGCTTAGCGACCAACATTCCTATAAACTTGTCGCCGAAGTCGCTACCACTGTAATTGTACATGCATATCATTATTTAGTGGCAGATTTAATCTTGCGACACTCCGGGCAGGTCCAGTTCTTGCGCTTTGGCTTACTCTTCAGCTGCAAACAAGCCATGTGGAACAAACGAATACTGCAATCGTTGTTGGAACATCGCAGTACCTCGCCAGCCTTCACAGACTTGCAGTAGCAAAACTCCGGAGGGCGTTCTTGATCCGCAGTAGATGTTGTACTGGCAGCACCAAGTGGTTCCGAGGCTGATGTAGCCGCTGAAGACGCATCGGCAGGAAGAGTGGAGAACGTCTTAGTGAACCATTTCCCAACAAGCTCTGGGAGAACAGCACACTAGAAGAATTTCTTGGCACCTGCTACCGCTTCACGGATGAAATCTGAGTCTGCACAGATACGCTCCACAAACAGCTGACCTTCATTCCACACAACAAAGTCACAGTACTGCACCTGACACACCAGCATCTGTAGCTGTACTTGGTAGTAGTACATGTGGTCTTGCTTAAGATGGAGTGCTCCGCCGGACTTTACTAGACAGAACTTCCCTGAATCGGCAGCATCATGCAGGCTACTGTCTCGGCACCCGTACGGGCACTTTACTTCCACCACGCCATTGCCACAGCAGGAGCACTGCACAAGGGAGTCGGGAGTAGCGCCAAGATATGGATAGTCCGGATGAATTACAAAGCCACTGGGCAGTACTTCAACCTTCTGATGTGTTGCACTGGCATGTTCACTATAGTTGTCAATTGCCTTCTGCTCGTGATCACATCCCCATTGTGTGGCTTTGCTACGAAACTTGTGTGCCTCAGGGTAACACACAGAGCGGACTAAGGACGCAGAGGGCTGGCTAATATCCGTGCGAACAGCAGACTTCAACTTTGAAGCTGTGATCCGGCCGGCGCGAAATTCAAACCAGGCCTTGGAATCTGCCTGGTTCCGCGTAGCCTGTTCCACAGCGCGTGCTTCCTCCTCTGAAACAAAGACCGCTGGAAATACTGCCTCGCAACGAACGAGCAGGTCCCCAAAACTAGCATCCAGCATGTCTGGTTCGTACAATAAATCCAAAATGGGTGGATATCCCTCGGGCTTGGAAGGTACGTACCTATCGCAGAACCCGGGAACAAGGGAGAGTAATGACGGTTTACCGGCTTGACATAAATTTCCATATAGTTCACCCAGCTCAGCACTGGAGGGTTGCTTAATATCAGCAGGGACCTTCTCCTCCGACCTACGGCGCTTGCTCCCATGCTGTTTAGTGTCGGGTGCAGTGAAGTTTATGTCACGAATCCTGGCATACTCTACCTCCTTCATTGAAGGAGTTGACCATTGGCACGGCAATGAAGTGCTTCCTGTGTTCTGAATCAGCTGCGTTCTAGAATACAGGCTCTGAACAACAGTGCAGCAACGTGAGAACAAGACTCACCAAGACCAGCCATGCAGGTGCAGTGTGCACAAATCACGCTACCGTCGTTTTGCGCAGCAATCCAGGGTTGCAGATGGGTGCCGGAAACTGACTGGGAATGGCGGACTTTGGCGATGACAAACTTGCTGTCACATGTGTCAGATTCGGACGCTGGAAACGCACGAACATCGCCGACCCAGCCACTGACAAGGTATTTGTAGCCTTCCAAGCTCTTGTAGGCCTTGAGCTGCTCCTTGGTGTAGGGGCTGGGCGCGTTGACCAAGAAATTGTAAATATCGGGATAGTCCACAAGTGGAAATTTATCTTCCTCTAAAAAAATACTTCTGGGCAGGTAAGGATCACTCGAGTCTGGTGCAACGCGCTCGAGCTTTTCACGGTACCGGCATTTGCTGGAGTCATCTAACTCGTCATACACTTTTGAAAACTTGGGAGAAGTCATGGCCACTGATTCAGCGTTCGTACAATAGTCCTTTGTAAAGAACAGAAGAGGAACGTAACAGCGATACAGGAAATTTCCTTCGTGAAATTATTCCAGGCACATGTACTTCTTTTGAACTTTTCATCTCTTTTGCCACCCCTGCGGAGCGCGGCCGCTTTGGCCGCCTACACGCCGCCTGCACGTGATCCTTTCGCATAACCTCTATATCATTTCTGCGATGCGATGAGCGAAAGCATTTTCCGCAAGAAGAGTCTTCGATGCACAATGCACGGCACTTCGTTGCATGCAGCGCAGGGCATGCACAGTCCAAACTGCACGCGAGCTGTCACGTGCGCACGCCGTGTAGAAAGTGATGTGCATCGCTCGTCGCTCGTCGCAGAAGTATTAGTTAGTTGAACTAGGCTCAACTTTCCGCGATGAGGCCAGCGCGACAGAGCTGCGACAACCTGCGATTCAAGATTTTGCAGAAAAAAAACTCTCGATCGCATCGCTCGTCGCTCATGGCGTGCCAAAAAGTGATATTGCGTATTGTGCTTTATGCGCAACTACATATGTACAATCATGTAGGTGTACATGGCTGTATAACGTGTGTAAGGTGTGTTCTGAAGTGTTAAATTGTGATTTTGTGATGCCATCTTCAGTCGTTCTACACTATTTCATTCGTGTTGATTTGTCACACCTGACAGTTCGTTGAGTGTACTCGCATTGCGCCAATATCTTCCATAAAACAATTATTTAGTTCAACCCATTTCATTCAACATCTACCTCTCCTCTGATGATTTCCCAACACCATAATGGAACGAAGCAAGGCTTGTCAGGAACAACTTCTAGCTGTTGTGGAGTGTGACTGGTGCAGTGTTGGTGCTGGTGTCTGCAAGCGTCGTCTGGTCTCGTCTGGTCAAAAGAAAAATCTACCACTAGTGCTAAATTGTACTGACTTTCGGAGATCAGCAAGAACGCCAGGTCTATGTCGGGTAGGCATTTGTGACTTCCATGCTCAAACCAGCACCATCTTTTCAAGTGCCTCTTCAACTGGTTTCACGGAGGAATTTGTGGCGCCAGCTTCAACGAATAATAATTATTATTATTCGTTGAATTGAGTAAGTATGCCAATGCAAACTAATAATTATTATTAGTTTGCATTGGCATACTTACTGGCACCACGAAAGCATGAATGCCGCGAATATGGATTTTGCGAAATTGACCGCTTCCGTTGTATGGTGTTTATAGATAGGCAGGATCTACATGTAATTCACCTCGCAAAGGTTTCTGCGCCTTGCATGATCCTTGTAGGTGGTGGAATTCCTATGAATGCCGAAAACCTTCATGGGGCAGATATGCCCGGGGCGTTTGGTTTGCAAATTACAATAAACCCAACAAACCGGTCTTACCGACTCAATACCGAGTCTCAGGATAACCATGACATTTTTCCTGGCGAACACAACTTGAAATATCTATAATTGGCGAAGCATTCATAGTTGAAGTGCTTTGTTTGTTGGAAGTGCGCCATCGCGATTACCTATTATGTATACAATTTGATTGCATTTCTGACATGAACATGCTCCACAAAGCCCATTGGCGTGCTTCATCCGAGGTTGCACCTTAATTAATCTGATAATGCACAACCTGCGAACATAAAATTAATGTAACTGTTTCTTCTTTTGTGGACACATCAGCGCTGCACAGAGGAAATGAGGCCGAACCTAATAGCAATGAAATAACATTTCAATAGCCAGACCCGAACGTACATGTACATGTACCTTGCCAGAGTGCTCAAATCGACAAATCAGTGAACTCTAGGTGTAAGGAGGACTGTCAAGAGCCAACACAACTTGGTATGAGTGTTACCAAAATTATATACATGTAGGCAGTACAGTGGAAAGGCAATAGGGAAGGGTACACTATCCGCGAATAATGATAAAGTATAGCAGAGAAAACTTCTTGAGAAAGACGGGCATCAATTGGTTTCAGAAAAATAGTCATATCTAATGTACATGTACATTGTATGTACACGTATGTACTTGGTCCGCGTCAGCAATATTGTCGCTTATCTTTCGAGTACATGTACATGTATGTTGCGCTCCATCGTACAGAGCAGTAGTGGTGTGATCGTCACGGGTAGTTGATAAACTCTAGAGTCACCAACAGCTGTGTACCCAGTCGATGCCGCTGGACAAAAATGAAAAACATTAGAAATGCAGAAATATGCGTGCACATGTGCTTCGAATCCAGAAGTATGCAGTCCGTTTACATTCCGAAAAGTGAAATTGCATTTCAGATTGTTCTTGAACATGGTTTTCACCCGAATAGGGTCATGCATTCTCTTCAGGCCATGTACTACTATGTGTTACAGCTTGTTCTTCATCTTTATGTCCGAGGAAAGGTTTTTGCATAGCTACATTGTATGAATAGGATGAAGGCCGCAGACATCACGCAACTACGTTACTTGTTTGACATGTATTTACTGTGTATTTTATAACAAAGATATTATTGAAAACCCAGAATCGATTTTCTTGTTCCTATTATCTCCATGTAGATTAAAGGTTTTTGCATTTGACTTTCGTTTAGGGACCGGCGGATTCTGCTCGAAAAGCAGTGAAATTGGCAGAACCATACAAACCTTATGGCAGGCAATTCCTCGAATTCTGCTCCATTTTTTTATCCACACACCAAACATGCATGAAACTTACCAGAAAAAGGACCGAATTCTGCCAATTTGTCTGCCGGCGGAATCCGCCGGACCCTGCATTCGTTGCCTTGAGTAGGAAGGAAAATCAGCACGTACCAGAAGCAATTATTACCTCTGATGGGTGCTGATCGCTCCAGTAGAGTTTAGCATAAGTCATGTCGATTGCCCAATGGTCTCTCAAATGGGAGTCCAGAGTTGGCTCGATCGCTACATATCTTTTTATCGCATTTCTTTCACTCCATGGTGCAAGAGCTGTACTGTCACAGGCGAGCACTGTGGAGTGATATCGTGATGAAGTACGTGCACATGTACTTCGAAGTAAATACCCCTCTTCTTTTTAGCTACCCCTTTCCTTTTTCACTTCCTATGATTCCCATTGGCCTAAGCCCTTGGATCGTTTAAACAAAACCTTTGAACTATCTAAAGATCTCAATGCCGTATAAGGCTGCGTTCCTAACTCCTTGTAGTCAAATTTCAAATAGTACAAGTCATAAAATACAAAAACGTGGTTGCGACTTCGGCGATGAGTTTTTTTAGGAATGGGTTTGCTCAAGCGCCATGTCAACTCCGCGGAATCGCGCGAGCTCCAGTGTGGGAGCAAACTCATTCTTAGCCAATCTTAGTACAAGTCATGTAGATTGTAAAAGGCTATATCAGGTTCATTTTTCTACTGCCCAGAACTTGCAGTTTGAAATGATAATAAGAAGCTTCCAACTGCAACTGTTTTACGGATTTTTGGTCCATCATATCCTCCCACCCTGTAATTAACCTTTTAACCTTTTATTATTAAACCTTCTTCTAAATTAACCTTTTACTCCAATCATTTGTAGAATCTAGGCTCATTCGAGTGTCCTTAATCTGATGTAATCTAATAGTTATGCAGATATACATGTAACCTTGGAGCTGATGCAAATGATTCAAATGAACTACATTCACTTTAACAGTGGCGTAACCAAGAGGGTGCCTCTCGTGAGTGCGTAAAAGCCACTCTTGTGAAGGGACTTAGGACACATCGACTTCCAGTTCCCTGCCAGGCTAGGCATTGACCAGCTGTGGACTTGTCGTTTCATTTACTCACAAGCGCAGTAATGATGATCCGCCTGCTTATCTACACGTGCACATACCTTTCTAGGCATCTGTACAGTCGTGATGCTGAGCTAACGCACAGAATGGTGTTCATGAACACCGCACTATGAAGGCAAAGCCACAGGGACGTGAAACTCAGACAAAGAAGTAAAGGTAGCTGTCAATGAATCACTTTGTCTCACGGTGGTTGGAAGCCAAACAGTGCACCTGACCGGACAGTGGTACCGACATGGAAAGCCCATTCCCCAGTCAGTCATCAGACAAGCGACATTCGCATTCTGAGCTGCTCGCCTTGCCGGAATTGCACCTCTTCTTCATGCTCAGTTGCTGTGTTGAATAGTTCATTCTGACCAGGATTGATTTGCGAAAGGCCGTTTCTGGATATATTGCGCAAGAGTGGCGGAAACAGCTCTCCCGGATACATCTCGACCGAAAGAGAGAGAGTGAGAACAGGGTACGAACTACCAAAAGAAGCGATGTCACATGCCAGAGTTTTCCAGTCATTTCAGGAGTCAGCAACAATCATGTTCTAGAAAGTGTGGACTAGCTCAGCTCTGGGGTCCGACCATGCCCAAAATAGGAATCACCCTTTACGACTGGAGAATCAACAGCACATCCAGAAAAGCATGGAAATCATTTTGCAATGAAAAAGCCTGAAGGATTCGAAAGGATCTGTTGGCTAATCCCGTAACAAACCTACGAGACTGTCAATGGAATACGCTGTTGATATACTCCGCCTTTCTTGAGTTCAATGGCGCTATCTGGGCGGACGTATCGATCCGATTTAAGCATTCTCTGGATCAACTGCAGGTTGCCCGAAACGGCGTTGGATTCATTGTAACCGAAGTAAGTAAGTGGTCCCCACATGTGTCGTCTATACGTGACGGAATTCTGAAATCTTTTGGTGTCAGGCGAATCTCCATGGTAGCGTCACCCACGATGATAGGGGGGATCGAGTATCTGGTTTAAGCAGGGCGGTGATGTGCCTTCCACAGTGCTGAAACACTAGCTGGCCTGTACCAGGACAAGTGGAGAGAACGGTGCCAACAGAGACAAGCACAGGATGTCTTGCCTCCCTCATACTACTTTAGTAGTCACTTCAGGACTTTCAAATAATTGGCCTCCACCCAGGATTTCATGAATAGTTATCATTACTTTTATGGCTGATTGAACTCACCGATTTCGGTCTAAAACGATCTGTGCGTGAATGAAACTTGAACTAAAGGAGTTTTCTCTCGTTTCCGTCCTTTAACGCGCGCTAGCGCTTGGTCCCGTATTGGTTGGTCGAGTATACCGCTGTGTTTGGCAAAACCAACGGATTGAGTGTGGAAATCAGTGGTATATGGTTGGAGGCGAGTTGGCGGGAAACGTGTTATGAATTATGAGGCTGAGTGAGGCGTCCTTCATAATTTTACTAGAGACTAGTAAAGTGCAATTCAGTACCAACAGCAACCGGCCATACCTGCGACTGCCAAGATTTCGACAGTACCAATGTGACGGCTGGTCGTTGAGGAATCACAGAGGGGACGCATTGCACTGAAAGCTCGGACAGAATTCCAAGCCCAAGGGCAACGGTACTGAGAATAGAGCATGCCCCAGCATTTCGCCAGGACGCTGCAGAGAAAACGATAAGCAAGAGAAAACATGCCAGGAATCTCAACCCGGAAAAAAACGTTTGGCATGGATAAACGAAAGGCGGCCTGGTCAATTTTCATGATTTCTTTTAGAATTTGTACAGCGGACACACATACATGTAGCTTCCTGTTAGAAAATCTGTTTTAAGACCAACAGCACGTTTTTGTGTTGGCATCATTGCCCACACCAACATTTTCTCGCGTCCTACACAATGTGCTTACCGTTCCCCTTGACCCAAACCCCTTCTACATGTAAGTTGTGCTCACAAATTCCCACCCCTGAAATATGTTGTCCAATATTTTGCGAAAGCTCCAAAATAGTTCAACTGAAAAGTTCTACAGTGTGAGAAAAGTGATGCGGGCAATAATCACGTTTTCTAGAACAATACAGAATGCCACAGAACGCCTAATTGGTATGGATACACAGCTTGTACCTGTCTCATCCTCGCTTCACTTGTCAGGATGGCCGTAGATGTTAAAAGCATTGTGTTATTTAGCCGTCTACTTCGCCGCAAACTCTCCAGAGCCGTAGCAGCGCCCTGACCCTTTCGTCTTCTACCTTGTCTTTACAACGTAGGAAGGGACAACTGTAGCAACATATCAATGCAAACACTACCATATTGTTCGTGCGTATTCGGACGGATTTGAGTAGAGTCATATACGTGTATCACAAATCGTAGGGAGACAGGGGGATACAATTAATGAGAGAAAGAGAGAAATAAGACTTCCGAAGGCAACCTAATCTGCGATTTATAGTTATGGCGAAGAATACATACACGATATCAAGCAGAGTTAGAGTAAATGGTATTCTTTCGAAGTCTGCAAAAATGCTGGGCTGTATCTGCTGAACCGATAACTACTGCAAAGTGTGAAGAAGATACTCTAGAAATTGAGTTTGGCCATTTTCGCAACGATCACTACACATTGTCAAATGTACATGGCCGCAAACTGCTCTTTCCTCTCTGCTCGGACTATACAGGATTCAAAATTGTTGCAATTAGAGGAATCGCGCTTTTTTCATACACCGAAAGTGTCTCGCCTTGTCGGCCACCATAGCTAAGTGGCGCAGCATTATTGGCCTATATTCAAAATCCCTTGTTCTACTTTTCTAGTCTTTTCAACTCCGATACTCTTCCGATGGTACATGTATAAAAAGGTACCCAATGCTGTAGACAGCAAGCTGTTTCGGCCATAAAGGCCTCATCAGTACAGCTACGAGCTAAATAGGCCGAGTTACTATTTGGCCATGGTGCAAAGGAGGCACCACAGACATTAAGGTAGCTCGTCGCTCTAGCGCCAGAGTGCTCAAACTACAAAAAGTAGCGTGCATTGCGCGATGCAGCAGCACTAGAGCAGCCTACTGAGAGTGCTCAACAGTGTATAATAAAGGTATGTACTAAGCAGACCAAAAAGACAGAGAAGGACATGTTACGAGTTTCGACTAACTGTCCGCCTGGGAGAAGTGTTGGAGCTAGGTGTCAGGTCGCTGAATGTCTCAGTACTCCTTTGTCAGTTTTGTGCCATTTTGTCACACTGGCTGACTGTATTATGATTTGGTTATGTTTGTGGACAGTTAGTCGTGACTCGTCACATTTTTTCCTTCTCTTTTTTCACCTTACTTTAAATTGGCTCACCATCCGAGATCAGCCCAACACAGTTCTAGCTACAAATCAGAGTGTTGTGCATCATACATATGTACTTTGTGTGAAGGAAGGAAAACACAGTTCCTTGTACACTTAGGCTTTGTGATTCGAGTAAGATCCATCCTGCCTCTTTTTGACGTTGCGGAGAGGTCAATCGAACCACTCATTTGCCGCTCCAGTGCTATGAATTATTTTATACATGTATCAGGAATTCAGGATAATGCACATACTTATGGCATAATCCACATTAATACTCTTACGAGACAAACGGACCAGTAGACATGCACACTTCTTGCAAATTAATCTGCCATAACACAATGTAATGTGACGCCGTGCAAGTAAAATAAAATGGGGTGACTTTTGTGCGCTCTACGCTGGTTCTCATGAACAGCCCTTGCACCGAACTTACCGGAAGAGGCGATGACGAACCCGAGAGCGCGAGCCGCAAGAGAAAATAGAAGAAGGAGAGCGATAGAGACTGAGACAGAGATAGGGAGAGCGAGATAGAGGTAGAGCAAGAGAAAAGGAGATGGAGTAGCTGCTAGTTGACATGGGCCGGCAACTGCTGTACGTACATCACGAACTCCACAGCCTCAACCTAGTTGTGAGCTGAGAACAAGGGTTGTACCACAAGAGTAATAACACACTCGCTGGCTTCTTTGTATAACAACAGGATTGCCCATGTGTATGTTCCACAGCCGAGTAAAGCGGAACTATAAAGTGTGTTGGGATGGGCAGCGAAAATTTGAACTAATATCTAATTATAAATTGCAGTGTAGCCTAGAGGCATTAGAGGTGGTGTGTACAAGGTGTGTGTACAGGACGTAGGGATAGGGTAAGTTGTCACTATTATACCCACGGGTATCATCAGGAACGCTCGGTCTATGTCAGGTATGCGTTATTATTCTTTCGCAGTCAATTCCATGCTCAAACCGGCACCAGCTTTTCAAGGGCCTCTTATTGTTTCTGTTCGTTAGAAGAAATTGCAATTATTTTGGTCATACAGACGGGTGTATTGTTCGCTCCGGCTGTTTGTCATTGACTGTTCTTCAGGGTTGTGTTGCTGGAAGTCGTTGCCGAGGCAGGCCCAGAATGTCATGGCTGGATAATATTATTTCATGGACTGCACTTGACGTGCAGTCCCTGCTGCACGCGATCGATTTTTATGGCGCTCGCTTGTTCATTCTTGCTCTGTGACGCCCCGACGGCCTTAGGGCTATGGGCTTGTGATGATGATGATGATGATGATGATGATGATGATGATGATGATCTCAAATATCCTGTTGTCATGGGTATGTTGCGTACCCGCCTGTCTTTTTTGCCTCTTGAGGTGGGCCATTACGTGCTTGAGTGGTTGCCGAGGGTCTTATAACAGACGGCGGGTGAATTCCTTTGTGGCCCAGTGTCGTTTGGCCGCATAGTGAATTTTTACGCTATGCCTCTCACCAATATCACTATGGATAACATCACATTTTTTAAATAACTATTTTGGTAAAGTAACATCATCTGTCATTCAATATCTACCCGGTAAAATAATCAGCATTTGAATATCTACTTGGGACTAATCATTCAATTGTTAAATATCATATTTTTACCTGAATATCTAACACGATTTTTTCCACATAATCTCGGTTATCACCGTTTCAAGCCCGTACAAGAGGCCGTTTCCAATGATTTGTGTAGGTGGTGGCGTTCCTACAAACACCGAACACAGGTCTTATCGAGTCTCAGGATAACCCTGACATTCTTTACTGGCGTAAAAACCTTAAAAATAGCATAATTCGCGAAGCCTTCATATTTGAAGGGCTTTGTTTGGTTGGGGGTGTATCATACCGACAGTCTATAATTATTTGATTGCATTTCTGACATAAACATGCTCCATAATGTCCCATGGCGTGCTTCATCGAAAGTTGCACCCTTATGTGATAATACATGTTACATGATGTGCAACCGAAATCATCTCTAATCTTCACACAAAGAAAACATGATAATTATTGTTCTTCATTCGAGTGATCGTTTTGAACAAAACCGAGTGGCACAGCATTCGTACTGTACGGAAGAAGCAGTTCGAAAACAGATCTCAAGTCGACCGGTTCCGAGGACATTGGAACTCACCACTGGAGTTAGCTCTCACTTCCGCTGCCACACTCAGCACTTTCCGATGTTGTGACGTCACAGTCAGGACGCTCTGTACCTTTTACTGGGTCATTGGTCAGCGAATCTTTCGCCCGAGCAGCATTCTCCACTTCTTTGCGAGGGTAGGATCGGTCGTGCTTATCGCCTTGCCTGTCGCACTTCGGGTGGCTGTGCGACTGCCTGTGTCATAGATGTACACGTTCATGTTTTCGCCCTTGATTGACAAGATCGCCTTGAAGGATGCAAAGAGAACCCTCGAAACGGATTCCATTCCCTCGATTCGATACTTGTTTCAGCAAAGCTCCACGGCGCTCATTAGGTCCTTCACAATTTTGTCTTTTTGACGAGGTCTGTGTCCAACTGCAAATAAAGGAAGAAGGCAAAATCGTTGCTATTTACGTCTCGGGACTGCGCACGCAGTGTCACCACCGCAATCTTGAAGCCGGCTTGCACTCCGTGCCGACCCCAGTGTTGTTGGTTGACTTTCGTGGTGTGGGCTCTAGCTCAATCATTTTTCTAGTACAAGGTCGTCTCCGCGCAGGTTGCCATGAACCTTTCTTGAACCACCACAATCCACATCTTCGTTCTCATTGCATCAAAACACCGTCTGTCTTGAGCAACACTTTCGGATTACGCTGTCGATCACGTCCGTTTCGCCAGCCACAATTCCGGTGCGTTACATTCGATCGCTGTGCGTTGGGCTGCACTGTGAACGGCCACAGCCCTACATTGCTGTCAAACTCGCACTGAACGCCTGGAGGTGAAGGACGAGCGCTTTCCTTCAAAGGTGTTGCCCAGCCTTTCAAACGCGCGCCTACTCGTGCAACATGCTCCGTTGTCTTCGGAGTAAGCTTACTGGACTTCGCCATCTCGATAGTGAGCGAAGAAAGGAAAGTAAGTGATAAGTAAATTATCGTGCCTGTTCCCGGAGGGAACCCACGAAGGCCGCTAACACCTGGTATGCCCTAGCGGCAGATGCAGCGCGTGAGCGGATAAGTCTCACAACCACTGGCACAAGTGCCGAGAAACCCTTTTTAATAGCAATGAGCTGGTTCTATATTCAATGAGAATTCAGAGTGGAAGCTAGGCGGCAATTGCGGTTGGGCGGAGGAAGTATTGTGTCAGTTTGGTTTTAGACACGGACGAGGCACAGCTGACCTCCTCACAGCACTCCAGGGCGAATGGGTGAAGATTGTAGCTGAGGGGGGCTGTGTCCCAGTAGTAGCAATTGATATTGCCGGTGCGTTTGACCGCGTCTCTCACCTCGGCCTTCTCATCAAAGCAGAGCGAGTAGGCATCGGCGGACCTCTTCTCTCTTGGCTACGCGAATACCTGAGTAACCGCTGCAAAAAGGTGGTAACTGGAGACCACGCTTCCAAGAAGTACCCCATCACTGCCGGAATGACCCAAGGCAGCGTCCTGCGCCCACAATCTTCATATTGTTTGCTGCCGATATCGACCAATGCCTCTCGAATGGAGTAAAGCTCAGCTCTTTCGCCGATGACACTACCGTGTACAGTCTGATCAGACCAAACGACAACCTCATGGGGCCAGCAATGGAGGATCCAGGTCGAGCCCACCAAGAGCCAGTGCCTGATGTTATGCAATGCTCGAAGGCCTGACTTTCCACCAAACACCTTTGCCGGCGAGATTATTCCGTACTCGGACCACCTAAAGCTGCTTGGAGTCACATTCGACTCTAAGCTTGTGTTCCAGCGCCATATCCATGCTGTCGCTGTCAAGGCCAGCCAGCGCCTGGGATTCTTGCGCCGTGCTGCTTGGCTTCTGGGTCATGAGGGCCGCATTGCCGTGTGTAAGAGGTTCATTCGGCCCATCTAGGAGTACGCTCCACTAGCCACCATGTGTGCAGCCCAAATTCCACCTAGCACGCTATGACAGGGTGCAGGAGAAGGCAATGCGAATCATCGGATCTGGCACGATCCTTCACAGCCTGTATCTCAGGAGGGCTGTCTCATGACCTGCATATGTGTACAAGTTGCACTACATTAAGAGCCCACCCCAGCTGACAGCCTTCCTCCCGCCACCGTCGGCGCCTGCACCTACTCCTAGAACCCGCCGACAACTAGCTTCTCTCGCCACTCTTTCCAGTTGCAATAGCCACTTGCTCGGGCAGCACCGAACTACCTACTGAGGTCATACCACTACACCCTCATTGCGGCATGGAACGACATTCCTGAGCACGTCATCCCGGAACCTCCTGCATCGAAGGGAATGCAGGCCTTCAAGTCTCGCATTTGTCAGCAGGACTGGTTGTGTGCGACAGCATTCCATGGCTAAATTTGACGATGTTCCATTCTCCAGTCCCACAACGATCACCTTGTCTTCACCCCACTGAACTGTACCTTGCTCCCTAGAGCTCTCGAAACACCTCAGTTCAGAATGTTTTGCATTAATGTTTCATTCTTCTCTTCTTTCCTTTTTGCTGCATATCGTGGCCCCTTTCTCGTTGATCCAGTGCCTGCACACTACTCTTCCTGGCAGCAGCTCCGATCTAACATCTGCGTTTTGCCCCCCCCCTCCCCACTGAAAGCGGCGCAGCTGTTGGTCCATTGCCATAATTTCCTGAACTAATCTGGCACTCACTAACTCACCCTCCCTTAATCGCCCCCCCCCCTCTGCTCCTCTCTTTCTCTCTCGCTCCATCATTGTCTGGCTCTCAGGTTCTTACTCTTCTCACACAGTCTTTCTTCTCTCCCTTCCCCTATGGTGCGTGTTGTGCGCCTTGATCCCAAGACCATTGGTCGGTGGAGGGCACTTCACCTCACTGGCACAGCTCAGTAGCATCTACCCGCCCTTTGTAGTCCCCTAAGTTCTCTTGAGGTTATTGTTGTTCTTTCATAAAAATAAAAATAAATAATACATGTATAGCTAGTGTATACCAAGCGATGGGAAGTATCAATCCACTGAGCTCATTCAGCAGGTGACAATCAGATTTTGCACTTAGGTTGTATTCGTAGGTTGACACAGGGACACTTCGTTCAGTGCCTTCTCACCTTTGGTTACGTAATCTTGTCGCCTTTGGGCGTTTCCTCTAGTTTTATTGCACTTGTATAATGATTTTATGTGACATTTCTAACACCTTTCTATTACTTAACTTCAGTTTCATTGGTATGTATCCTTTAGCTCCGAATTAGATATCCATTAGAATTTACTAGTACGGAAGGGTTGCAATTTCAAATTTGGACTTCACGGAGAATTTCAAAGTTTTTAGGAAATTAGAGACCACATGCCACCTACTGCTCTTTTCTCTCCGAAACTCAACACTTGCAAGCCAGATATGAAAGAAAGAAAAAATCATCAGTCACACCACCGGGACTCGAACCAGGGACCTTGCTATTCGCGAGCAATGCTCTAACCAACTGAGCTACAGTATGACTCTTATCCACAATGATGGTAAATCTATCCTTCTTCGATCAAATCATATCTGGCTGACATCATGCTGGCAACTCACACCAATCAAGAGGGCCCTCGGCCATTCGCTTGATATCATGGGGAGCGCATCATTTCTTTCTTTCTGGCTTGCAAGTGTTGAGTTTCGGAGAGAAAAGAGCAGTAGGTGGCATGTGGCCTCTAATTTCCTAAAAACTTAGTACGGAAGGGGTCTGAGAAAGGGGCAGAGGTGTCTGGATTTTCGGTATTCCACGGATCTCATGCATCTACATGTACATGTACATGTATACAGAGCGAGGTGCTAATTATTTGTATCAGGCATCAATAATAATCATACACTCTGCCTCCGCGAGCACTCTCAACACGCAGGGTGAATCCAAGCATTGTACATGGACTTCAAAGTACATGACAAGTACACGTGCAGATACAATGTTTGTATTATCACTATTATCTCACATTTCTAAAAGTATTATAAAAAGACTTGAAATGACGCGCTAGTCTTCCTATGCTGTGATAGTTTACAATGGGAGTACATGTATGGCCAGTAACAGTGATTGGTCGGTAACCTTTAGTTCTGAATTAGATATTCATTATAATTTGATTGTACGGAATGGGACTGAGAAAGGGGCAGAGATGTCTGCATTTTCCGTATTCCACGGAGCCCATGCAGCTACATGTATACAGGGAGAGATGCTAATTTGTATCAGACATCAATAATAATCATACACTCTGCCTCCGCGAGCACTCTCAACACGCTGGGTGCATCGAATGTGTAATCCTATGTTCATGTACATGTGCGTGTAGTTCGAATTTCATGTACATGTTCCATGCCTGCCAAGTATCCAGATTTTTCGGGATTATCCCGCAATTTTGGATGAACTCCCGCGATCCCGAAATTCCTGTCGATTATCCCGAAATTCAATGTACAAATTCAATCTACAAGAAACAAGCTCGAAGTTGTGCTTGAAGCACTTCAAATGACTTGTCACAGGCCAGTAGTTGTTCTTGTTGATCCCGGACCGCCATTAGCCTGCAGTGCCAGTGGATCTCCTAGTGCTCCTTCCATGCGCAGTCTCTGAAAACCTCCGTTTTTGAGTCTTGAACATAAGCAAGTGTGATCCTATGATCACCATCAATCATCTATTATCGAAATGTTGGTGCCATCAAAAGTTGAAAAAGGATTATTTTGGTAAAAAGATGACATATCCCGAAAAACCAAGGCAAATCCCGGGATTTTGCCATGGCGATGCAGAAAAAACACTCTCAGTACTTTGCATATGTACATGTACACATGTACATGCCGACAGAGAGCTCCACAAGCTCAACCAACGTAAAAACCAGCTACACCGACGGTCGCTAGGCGATAAGGGAAACCAGAATATTCACGTACAGTTCAAGCAAGCAAGCTCAAGCGCCAGAAATGCCTATCGCCTATCTTCCGAGCGCAATGTGCTGCGTCCAGTAAGAACCAGCGTAAGCTCTGGAACGTCATAAACTCCGTTAGGAACAGGAAGAGAGTACGTGCGGAGTCTACTTGCCCCATTGAAGAAGTTTCGTCAGTCTTCCAGGCAGTAGTAACAGACAATGCCCGTACTCACAGCATCCCGCTGCCGCAAGGCCCACAGCTTCAGACTGCAATGTCGGAATGGCTGCAAGTGTCTTTTGGCGACGTAGAACGGCTTCTCCGACAAATCAATTCTGCCAAAGCAACAGGAAGCGACGGGATACCTGGTCACCTACTAGTGCTGTGCCGATATCCTAGCTGCGTCCGTGGCCACTTTGTTTAATGCCTCGCTTGTCAATGACACTGTCCCCACAGCCTTCAAGCTTGCACACGTTATCCCGCTGTTCAAAGCTGGGGACCCATCTATTCTCACTTACTTCCGTCCAGTGTCCCTACTTCTCATATTGTCAGAACTCTTGGAGAAAGTCGTACAAAAGAAGCTAGCCCAGTTTCTGTACATATCTGGTACCCTCCCTACGACTCAGTTTGCATTCCGCGCAGGCCACTCAACGGAGGATGCCCTGGTACTTATGCTAAATCGTATTCTTATTGCACGGGACAAGCGTTTGTGTACTGGCATATGCCTTCTAGATAATTAGTGCCATTTCTGCACCATCCTGTGGCGTGCCACAAGGTTCCGTTCTAGGACCGATCCTTTTCAGTATCTACACCCGCGAAGTTCCAACCATAGCTACTAATAACCAGTCTTCATCAGTTCAATTTGCCGATGACATTGCGCTGATCAGCAGCAGCACATCCCTGGACACGGTATCTGCTACGCTATCGGCCTCGGTTTCTGCACTTGCTGACTGGTTGCAGACCCGTGGTCTCATTTTGAATGCAGCCAAAAGCCAAGTGCTACCTGAATACCCCAACAGGCAGCCTCAGCAGCCCCAGCACACGACCAATGTAAACTGTCATGAAGCGCAGATTCCTGTCGATACTGCTGCGGCCAGGTATCTTAGAGTGCTCCTCGACTCAGATCTGTCATGAACGCCCCATGTTGATCGCTGCACCGCTCGACTGGCCCAGAGGATCGGAGCACTATGGAGGTTGCGTCGCTCCTTGACTCATCAGATCCGAGTTCTCTACTTTAAAAATATTATGCAGTGTCCAATTCCACTGTGGATACAACGTACACATACATGTACATGTACATGTACAGGTACATCATCCATTAACGCTATGATCCAAGCTTGCAGCCTATATCAATCTTATCTTCTAAAAATTGTAGTCAAGTTGCTGTCTGAGGATCGGTTAAAGCCGTGAAACTCAGAGTTACAGAAGAAACGCTTTTCGTCCCTCTCAAGTGTGTGTACATGTATATTGTATGGGCGGCAGGGAAGTGTAATCCGTATCACATAACATACATTGAACAATCGAAACGTTATCCTTTTAAGTTAACAACAAAAATCATGTGGCATTGATCAAGAACAGCGTACTCCGGACAGCTTCCGGGTCGAGCAAGACTAGCACATGTACATGTCATGTACAGGTATGTATTCGCAGACCACGTTATGATGAATATAATCATGTACGTGCAGTATCAGGCCTCTTTTACGGGCACATTAACACAATGCCGTCAATGGTTTAAAAATGCAATAAATCATACACTGGAGAAGAAATGTTGAGTCACCTCCACCATTACAGTCAACTTCGCCAATAACGACATTCGGCGGGGCATCAGAAAAGTGTCCTTATTCGCGAAGTGTCCTTATAACCGAAGTCCCATTTGAATGTATGTGACCCATATTTTGTATAGTATGATATGCATATCAAAATCAAGGTCTTTTCTTGCTCTATGTCAATGTGTACTTTATTTTCATAGCAGTTGAAAGGAACTAAAAATTCAATATGCAAGGGAAATCAATTGAAAAATATGCCTTTTTGAGCCATCTACAGGGCCAGAGATATGTACATGTATGATGATTACTGTACAATCATGTGCAACTACATGTACATTGTATACATATAGGTGTGCTGGTAAATCCAACAATTTTGAAGCCAACATAAAAAAGGAAGAAAAAGCCCCCCCCCCCTTGGCTGCATTTTCTTGCATGTGTGCAATAATATCCATCACCAGTGCACCATAGGTTCTGGTACTTCTGCATGACAGGTACATGTACTTGACTGACAGGTACTTGAAATAGCTGTCAAAAGCCCAGAAAGTCGTTATTCAAGCAGTGAATATGACCACGGGGCACTAAAAGCATGTCGCTATACGCGAATTGTCGTTATTCAGATAGTCGTTATATCCGAAGTTAAATGTATACAGTTAGATGGGACTTTGCTCTGGGCATGGAAATTCGGTCGTTATTCGCGAATTGTCGTTATATCCGCAGTCGTTATTAGCGAAGTTGACTGTAAACTGCTTGGTAGCTTGCTGACAACATCGGTGGCATGAAGCCTAGTGACTGCCAAGCATCTTGGCGCGACGGGCGATCAGTACAGTGTCATGCCCCAGGGGCTGCTGTGGCTGTCGACGTCGGCGGGTCGTGAGGTGCGTTCGCAGACCTTCATGGCACTCGGACAACTGCAATACTAGTACACAGACTCTCACTAGCTACATAGTACTCGGTTTCTGGCACGTTATTTCTGCATTGGATAGTGATTGATTTTCTGCGCCGAATTTCCGACGCTGCACGCATGTCCAATTCGCGTGAACAGTACTTCACTTTTTTCCTTTTCCCGTGTTATCACCTCAGCTATGCCAGTTTTGTATGTGGAAACCCCCTATTATAATTGCAGTTTGGTCTATATTTTTAATCATTCAACATCTACCTTCACTGATGAGCTATGTATTAGCGAAACAGCTGTCTGAATGAGTTTATCAATATCGTCCACGGAAGTGTCCTCGCAATGGTGATGGTTGTGTGCAGAAGGGTCTAGTCGGCTATCATTCACAAAAATCAAAAAGAAAAAAAAGAAAAACTTGATGAACAAGTAAACACAGTATAGAAGATCAGAAAATTACGTAACCAGGCGAGACTCAGCCACCACGACGGAACTATCCACAAAACGTTGGACGGGGAAACCCCGACGAGAACGAACACCACGGATACAAAGAATACTGGATCTCAGTAATTAGAAAGAGAGACGAGGACGCAGCACATGTATATTATTATGAACGAAACGTTGATTTTTTTTTTAACATGTACATGTACATGCATGTACTGAGTGAATTTTGCCGTATCTACATGTACACGTGCCAGTATCTGACCTGTAATATGGTGGAGAATAAGCAAATCAAAAATATTGTGGAAGTCGCTTAGTACGCACTCTGTTGGTTAACTTGCTTAGCGCGAAGCATGTCCGGTAGTCTCCATTGAGTGCACGAATTATCAGTTTCACTGCATGTTCAGATTGGTTGCGGCAGCCCTTCCGCTGGCGCCTGCTGTTCGGAATGGTGCAGATGAGCGAGGAGCGCGGATGCCAGGGATGTTGCGACCGTCACCCAAGCGATGATGAAGGATGCACCGTACTTCGTAAAGGGAACTTTGTCAAACTCCTGCTGCTTGACAAACCCGATAAAGGTGCTGGCAGACACAATCATGAATAGTCCTGGGCAACAAACCCGAACACAATGAAAGAGAACGTTGACCTTTAGTGTGAAATGAGTCCATTCACTGCACAAGACAGCATATCCCACTGATCCAAGTCGTGAGGTTTCCTGATTTCATATTTTGAGCATCATCTATGAGACATCTTGTTTACTGCATGCCCTATGGAATTTGTGCATTGAAGAGATTTTGTAGGGAATAGGAGAGTTGACTATAGTGTTTTCTAAACAAAGAATGCCGGTGATCCTCACCTCGTTAGTGCGCCTTACGCTCTGTCGTATACGGGGCCACGCGTGATAACACTATGTGCGGACTTTTATATCTCCAAAAGATCATGGCTAAGTACATGCACATGTATGCTGATACCGGTACATGTACGTGTACATGTAGTTTGAGGCTTACCTGACACAGCAAAGAGTATGCGAGGACCTAGTACCACTACCAGTACTGTCCGAAGAGTGCCTTTCATCTCCATTGCGATGGACAGGATTAGGCCCATGCCAGCAAGGATCGTGGCAAGAAGGCCAAACGCCATAGCGGAGCGCAATGTGTCTACAATGAATACAGAAAACATTGACAACTTGAAGTAATTACATGGCAATTGACTGCATATTGCTACTCATCGGTGAGAATTTCCACATGCACAGCGAAGATTTTCGAATCACCCTTATAGTCTAGGCATATACATGTACATGTACATCCTCGAACTGGACGCCGGTATTGGAAAGAGAGAAAAGCGAAAACTGGCCTTGCAATAATTGTGATGCAATCGGGACTAGGCCAAGCACCGAAGTGCAGAACCTAATCAAGTGCATTGCACAAATCCGTTGATTCCCAAGTGCATGTACACCTCCATGCATACATACATGTACATGTACATATTTATATGTATGCGAACACAATCTCTACAACTAGTGAGTTGCGATGGCCGTGCACGTATTTATAAGCCAGGCACAATATTGGCAATTGACAACACTCGTGCAAGCCAGGAGCACCTCAAGGTTAGGACTTCATGCACGTACCGCATTCAGCCATCAGTACTGCAAATGTACATGTACAATGGACATGTACATTTACCTGCGAAGATATGAGATAATAAAATTATACAATGTATCTCTTTATTCCTAGAAGATCTTCACTCACTTGACAAGTTTTCGATTCCAGAGTCCGAAATGTAGTCTAGACAAATCCTTTCTGGTAAAAACGTCCCCATCTGGCATATTTTCCACAGTCCAGTGTCCACCCGCTGGACGAAGCTGAGTTCCGGAGAGTTCACGTCCAGGACAAACCACTCTGGTACAACTGGAATAAAGATTAATGTTGAAGAAAGAAGACACGATACAGGCCAGCGAGACAGGATCGCATATATTTGCTTAAATGTTAGTCTTGTACGGATTGTAGCCGTGGTTGGCTATAAAAACCCTGCAATCGCCACGCAAAGTGGTCATTGGCTACCCCAGCCATGTATTGCTTGGAAAAAAATAAAAAAATATGAAAAATCCCATCGTCCACTACAGTACTCGAATTCTTAAAGTACATGTACGTACGACAAATCCCTACATCCCCTATGTTTTGTCCTTTTCCTCGTTTCTTTTTGTTCCTCACCTGTTTTCCAGAAGGGCTGTGTCAATAGTAAAAAAATATAATAAAAAAACCGGAAATCAAGTACTAAATCAAGTACTAGTAATCAAGAGTTTAATAAGGCCCCAAGAGTGTGCAACTCTGCATATGGGGTCCCCGATAGCGAAAATCACATCACCCACTATGCAATAATTTTCTGGTTTGAGGGAAAGACACAAACGGGAAAAGTCTGAAGAAAAATGTGACTGTCACCATTGGAACTCGAACCAGGGACCCTCGCTTGTAGCCATCGATGCTCTAACCTCTGAGCTATGGTGTAGTTGTCATCCCAGCAGAGACCTGTCAACATTTTCTTCAGACTTCGTAATTCAGAGAACTACTATATTCGGGGCCATTATCATACCAGTTACAAGTAAGAAAGTTGCCCCTAGGCCCAGGGTGCTCGTGGAATTCACTTATGCACCGGCTATATGCTCGAAAAGTTGGCAGGTTCAGTCTCCCGACCATAGACTGATCGAAAGGCTGTCACGTCCTGTGACCATCGGCGTACAGTTGACGCTGATGGGGAATTGGCAGAATCATACAAACCTTATGGCGGGCAATTCCTCGAATTCTGCTCCATTTCTTTATCCACATACCAAACATGCATGAAACTTACCAGAAAACATACCGAATTCTGCCAATTTTCTGCCGGCATTATGCGCAAAGGCCTACCCCACTGTGCTCATGAAATTCACTTACCGTGAGCCGTAATCATCAGCACCAGTGTAACGACAGCCAATATGAGCAGTGGTACTCCTAGCATCGCCATCCTAACTGCTTTATTACTAAAACTACAGATGATCGCAACGTTTCTGTGCAGATCTGTGAAAATCTAACACAAGAGTGAGAGAGAGAGAGAGAGAGAGAGAGAGAGAGAGAGAGAGAGAGAGAGAGAGAGAGAGAGAGAGAGAGAGAGAGAGAGAGAGAGAGCGAGAGAGAGAGAGAGAGAGAGAGAGAGAGAGACAGGGGGTAGAAAGGAAAAGGAGATGGAGTTTTTGCTAGTAGACCAGGCCAACCCCTGTCGGTTAAGCATTCATGCTAGAGACAGTAATAATTTTATTATACAGTACCTCACGAAATCCACAGCCTCGACGTAGTTGCGTGCTGAGAAGGAGAGTTTTGTCACAAGAGTAAGAACACACTCGCTGACTTCTTTGTATAACAACAGGATAGCCCAGGTGTGTGTTCCACATACGCATAGCCGAATAAAGCATGGACATGCATAAGTGTGTTCGGCAGTGCAAAATACTGTACTGACTTTCGGAGATCAGCAAGAACCCCAGGTCTATGTCGGGTAGGCCGCATCTGTGACTTCCATGCTCAAACCAGCACCATCTTTTCAAGTGCCTCTTCAACTGGTTTCATGGAGGAATTTGTGGCGCGAGCTTCAAAGAATAATAAGTGTGCATTCGCATACTGGCAACACTAAAGCATGAATGCTGCCAATATGGATTTTCCGTCATTCACCTCTTCGGTGTTATGGTGTTTATACATAGGCCGGATCTGATTCACCTGGCTGCCAAAGGTTTCTGCGCCTCGCATGATCCTTGTAGGTGGTGGAATTCCTATGAATGCCGAAAACATTCATGGGGCAAATATGCCCGTTTGGTTGGCGGATTAAAATAAACGCATCAACAAACCGGTTTTACCGACTCACTACCGAGTCTCAGGATACCCATGACATTTTTTACTGTCGTACACAACTTGAAATATCAATAATTCGCGAAGACTTTATATTTGAAGTGCTTTGTTTGGTTGAAAGTGCATCATTGCGATTATCAATATTATGTGATTGCATTTCCGACATAAACATGCTCCACAGAGCCCATTGGGGTGCTTCATCGGAGGTTGCCCACTAATCTGATCATACACAATCTGCGAGCATAACTGTTTCTTCCATTGTGTACGCATCAGGGCTGTACAGAGAAAATGAGGCCGAATCTGATAGCAATGAAATAACATTTTAATAGCCAAATTTAAACCAGACCCGAACGTACATGTACATGTACCTTGCCAGAGTGCTCAAATCGACAAATCAGTGAACTCTAGGTGTAAGGAGGACTGTCAGGAGCCAACACAACTCTGTCCAAATATTACCAAATTATATAGGCAGTACGAGTGGAAAGGCAATAGGGAAGGGTACACTATCCGCGATTAGAATCAACTCGTAAAACCTCCAAGTCAATCTCCCATTGACACAAACCTCGTTTATTGAACATAATCATATCCTATCCAATAAAAACAGTTCATAAAAACAGTTCATAAAAACAGTTCATAAAAACAGCTTTTTAGGATCGGACCCAATCCGCATAACCAAGAGAGCTAGCTCCCTTGGCTGCTGTTGGAATATGCAAGAATGGGCCTTCCACATAAGGTCTAACAAGGAGCAGTGGCTATAGTTATGAAATGAACACCGGTAACCATGGAGACAGACCACACTCTCATTATAGATACTGGTTATAAATAGACCGAATAAGGAAAATGATCTGATAGCCTATGAAGACTAAAAGAAATTGAACCAATGACAACAAATACTCGTCCAGCACACGGGTTGTCATAGCAACACAAATAACAGCTGTCCGCTAATTTTGTTGTTGGAGATTGAGTAGGAGTTTTTACTGGTTGATTCTAAATACAATAAATGCTCCGGCCTTGGGTTTATGACCAATAAAAACTAATTATAAAAACCTCGGGGGACCTCGGTTTTTATAATAGTTTTTATTGGTCATAAACCTGTAAACCCTCGGCCTCCTCATTTATTGTATACATAATGACAGTATAGCAGAGAACACTTCTTGAGAAATAAGGGCATCAATTAGTTTCAGAAACAAATAGTCATATACAGTAAATGCCGACGACACCACGGTATAAAATAAGTGTATCACAACCCGAGCCAAAATCCCAGATGGAGTCGCAACGCTCCAGCAGGCTGTTGACGCACTTGCCGACTGGGGCACCCTCTGGGGAATCAGGTTTCAGCTGACAAAGTCACAAGCCCTCACGATCACCAACCGACGATCACACCACCCAGTTCCCTCTATCACATTCCAGGGGACAGACGTACCTGAGGTGGATCAGCTCCGCCTGTTAGGAGTAACATTTGACAGCCAGCTATGCTTCAAGCAGCACATAGGGTCCCTCGGAATACGCGGTGCGCAGCTACTCGGCTTCTTCCGCAAGGCTGCCATGGCTCTCAACCAACGATGCCGTGCCGTACTATACCGTGGGTTTGTTCGACCGAACCTGCAGTATGGGATGCTGGTATGGATGAGCGCAGCACACTCTACACTTGCCAAGCTCACAGCCATCCAACGTGGTGCACTCCACGTCATTGGTGATGGCTGCTAACTGCCCAGCCTGCAGTGGCGGGTTTAGGGGGGGGGGGGGCGCGGGGGGCGCCCCCCCCCCCTCAAAAGTTTCGACCTAGGTTTCGAAAAATAGAAGGCAGGGCGCGCGGGGCTAGCTAGACTAGACATCATGTACTCGTAGGGGTCTACTCGGTGCGCGCGCGGCCTGAAACGATCGTCCAAAAGCGGTTGCACTGTAGACCTACGCCTACGGTGTTGATTGTACACACTACTGACTAGTACTGGTCTGTAGTACAGTACAGTGTAGAGTCTACAGAGTGCGTACAGTGAGTGAGCATGCACGGCTACAGAAACACGGTGACCTGACTAGTGACTGTGTACTGTTGTACAGTGTGATCCCTGCTGGGACGCGCTCGACGCGTCTTCAACGTTACGTACAAACATCGAAGAAAAGTCTTCGATCAAGGGTGCGTTTGGTTGGTACGATCTAGACCAGGATCGAACAGCTGGTGCACATGGAGCAGCCTCATGCCAACCAAACGGTACTCCAAAAACAGAGCAAATGTTTGTGAAAAATATGCCAAACTTGGTGCAATCTTCAAAATGTGTATGGGTCACCATGGTCACTGTGTACGGTACGACGAGTCTAACCCCAAAGCGTATGCACGTGATCATTTGGGACCAAAATCGATGTTCCCGCCAGGTTTCACGGTGAAAAAGTGAAACTGCTCGGTCTGCTCCGGCCTCGAGGCCGGAGCAAGCAGAACATGTTCTGGCCGACCCAGAACAGGTGCAGTCCCAACCAAACGCGCTGTTCTGGTGAATCCTGTTCTAGTTCGTACCAACCAAACGCGCCCCAAGTCAACCAAAACACGATTCGAATGCCGAGGGCCCAGGCGATCATCCTCGTTCGAATCGTGTTTTGGTTGACTCGAAGACTTTTCTTCGATGTCTCAGCGACATCCCAAAAGGCCAAGCTCTAGCCAGCAGAGCCTGGAATTTTTGTAAAGCGTTCCTGTGGCGGCGCAACTCCTGCTGCCGCTCCAACAGGAAACAGTGGGAGTGATGAAGTCGCTGTTATTCCAGTTGAACTTTCGGAGCGGACTGACAGTCACACTCCGCCAGACGTGGAAGAACCTGTTTTCAGCGAGCAACCAGAACATGAAGAACAGCGCACAGGGACAAGTACCGCTGCCTATGTAAAGGATGCTTTGAGAGCGGTGAGAAATTGTTGGACTCGCATAAATAATAATTATTGCAGTTGATTCGCTCACATATAGAAAATTTTATATGAAGACAATTTCATGGAGTCAGAAATAGAAAGACAATAATTTCATGGAGTCAAAGAATAGAAAGACAATTTCATGGAGTCAGGAACACGTGGTTGATTTTATAGACATGCATGCACAAATGATTGATGGATGAGAATGTTGGAATTTATGGCAGATAATAAAAGTTTAACGAGGATATTCACAAAGTAAGTACAATGGCAGAAAGAGCTTTTCGGAAGGGACCAGGGACACGTATCACTCTAAAATCAGAGGGGAGAGCATTCCAGAGATTAACTGTTGAAGAAGGGGGCTACAGGAGGAGCTTCTTGACATCGGTTTTCAAAATGGCTGACCTGGGACAGTATCATGATGTCATCTACCCCCGGCCCCACCCCATCCCGCCTTGATCCCGACCGCAACCCCCCCCCCCCCCCCCCTCAGCCAAATCCTGGACACGCCACTGGCCTGGACATCCGTCGCTCTGTTGCTGCCCTCTGCTACCTGTTCAAGCTCCACTATCTGACTGGCCCTCCTAACCCCGCCAGCTCCAGCCCGGACCCGCACCCGAGCAAGCGTGCGCACCAGGGAGTCTTAAAATACCGGGAGGCGACACGCCACACATTTCACGATCCGAGGATTGCCGCACTCGACCCTCGACCCGCGAAATTTGAAGCGTGATTAAAACGTCGTCGTCATCTTCTTTTTCTCAATTGTTTTTGCTATATGCTTCGAGGCTATTCTGGATCTCCAGAGCGAAAGCTGGTTGTTTCTGATACGTACCACGCATTACCTTAGGTTGAGCCGTGGCTTTTAATTTTTGTTGGAAGTTCACTGCTTTGGAGACGACGGAATGTCAAGGTAAGTTATTCACGAAATGTACTCAAATTTGAATTGAGTCAATGCGAATGACACCCTGTTTTCGGAATAGTTCTCCACTAAACACACCATGCCCATGGCCCCTTCATGTTGTCCAAGTTCCATTCTAGGTTTGTGTGAAGTTTCGAGATGAAGTTCGACGATGTACTCACCTTTCCATGGAAGGGAAAAAAAAGTAGCATATCAAACAGAATCCATGCAGTATTTGATGCCACTATCCTCATTCTTCTGCATTCAAAGTGTTTCACATCTAAATGGCCCATGAACTGCAAACAATATTTGTCATTTCTCAACTGTTCATAGCTGTTCATAACTGTTCTGAACACATTGCCTTCAGGAAGTGAACGTAAGGCCGAGTCGCCTCACCGACTGAGCAAAGTTCTCTGCGACGAAAGTCACACTATCGGCGGGATGCACTCAAGGTGAATACCCGTCAATATCCTGTATACTGCTTGTACCGCTTATCACAGTAGCATACACACAAGCACACATACACACACACACACACACACACACACACACACACACACACACATGCATGCTCGTGCACACACAAGCGCAAAATTCACATATCACTGGTTCAGTTGTTTTTATCTGTGTCGTATTTTGTCTTATACAGAGCTTCCGAGCCACGCGAGTCACCTGACCAACTGAAGAAGGTTCTGTGCGACGAAAGTCACACTATCGGCGAATGCACTCAAGGTGAATACCCTGTGGACTGCTTATACCACTTATCACAGAAGCACACACACACACACACACAGACACACACACACACACACACACACACACACACACACACACACACACACACAAGCGCAAAATTCACATATCACTGGTTCAGTTGTTTTTATCTGTGACGTATGGTGTCTTATACAGAGCTTCCGAGCCACGCCGGGCCACCTGAATTCTCCAAACAAGGCTGAAGGCTTGTCACGGCATCCTTGCCAAATAAAGGTATAAGCTGCAGCAAGTTGTCGTTGCGACACCTTGCTCCTTCCAGCTCACGCCGCACGGCCACCAAGCACCAACCACCATGGTACTTTTCAGCAAGGTGAGACAAATTGTCAATCACCGGTTCGGGGATGGCTTCAGCAGCTTTGGATGGTGCTATTGACGCTTTCCTGATAGCAGCGGCAGCCGTAGCATGCAGGTAGCTTATCAGATTCGCTAGCACTGCAGATGTAACTTCCAAATCTGAAGAAGAGAAAAGAAAAAGACAACATATAAGGACTGGTGGTTGCAGAGACTGTACTAGTATTCAAAAGCCAGCGTTTGCATACCTAGTCTGCATACCTAGTCAGAAGCCAATTTTTTCCAACATGCATGCAAAACGCACTGACCTTCACAATTGATTTTCACTTCGGGAATAGCTGTTGCGATGACGGACAGCATTTGTTGCCATGCTTGCGAAATATCAGCACCCTTGCATGCCTTCAGCTGGCACACTTCCTGGCGTAGCAGATTTGCAGTACCTGATGCCTTGTGTAACCGTGTCATAATAACATGCAGGAATGACTCCGTCGCCTCAGTAACACTCGCCTGTCTCATTGTCAGCAGTTTGCAAATTCCATGGATCACTGCACCTTCCATAGGCCTGTACACCATGATGGCACTACCACTCTTACATCGATCTGCACATAGACAAAGTATGGTTTGAGGATGGAGGTTTACATCATCTACGGTGATGATACATACTAGGTACACACGTAAATTTTCAGGACTTCAATAAATATCCTGTCACAGTGAACAGACAATGCATCGTGGGCAGACTAGGATGAAAAGGATGGTGTCGACCACCTAATTTATCGGGTCAGTTCGGGCACTTAGGTATGCTACAGATTATACATTCGTGTCCACAAGGAAGAGACAAAAACATGCAAACGAAAGAATCTCACCTGTAGCCCACAGCTGAACATCCCCACAACTCAGGTCACCAAGTGAATACGTGGCGTCATCTACATCTTCCACGGTGGACTCATCACTTTGGCAGTCATCTCTGTCAAGCTCCATCATCCTTTACTTCGAAGGCCAAGGCACAAAGTATTATTACTTAGAAAAACAAAACGAACTGCTGACACTGGATTCGTTGTGTGCAGGATAATTTTATTGAGTTTTCAAATTTTTTGGACCAAACAGCGAACGCGTCCTTTTGCATGACCTGCGCCGCTTTGACCTCATGGGAAGTCCCTCGCCATGCAGCGCGTGAGGTCTCAGCACTCGTGCCCGAGCTGAGGCAATCATCCGACGCGGTTGTGCATCTCGTGTCGCCTCCCGGTATTTTACGACTCCCTGGTGCGCACAACTCGAGCCATTATCTGTTCCAGCTGAAATAGACTGTCCCACCTCAGTCTCGGAACAATTTCCTTCGGTCCTTCCCCCACTGTATGATTGACACCTGGAATTCCCTCCCAGCCTCTATTCTCAGTGCTCGCCCCTCCCAGACGTCGATGCAGACCTTCAAGAAGAAGGTCTATGACCACCTGAGGCAGTCTGAGTGTCTGACTGGGACTGGGCAACCGACCGCCTCTAGCCTACTCCGGGATTATGCCCCTGCTTCTCCCACCCCAAGCCTAATTGTTGCCAATCCTGAGTAGCCAATCTCCACTGCTACCCTATTACATCCTTCATTTGACACTCTCCTTTCACTCTTATTATCTGTTTGACTATTTGCCATAATTATTTTGCTGTGTTCCAAAATTTGATCCTCTCCTTCGTTCTAAATCTTCCATTTTCTCCCGTGCTTTTTTCTCCTCATGCTTTTGCTTCCCTCCCGAATTTGGTGCGCCTGACATGTGAAGATGTCGAGACCTCTGGTCGGTTGAGCATGGCAAGCCCCAGCAGCACCATCTCACCCCATGCTAGCCCCATGTGCCTGTCGGGGGAGTTGTGTATCTTGTAAAAATAATCTAATGTACATGTATGTCACGCTCAATCGTACACAAATGACAGAGCAGTAGTGATGTGATCATCACAGGTAGTTGACGGCCTCTGGAGTCACCAACAGCTGTGCACCCAGTGGATGCCGTTGGACAAAAATTAAAAGCATTAGAAATGCAGAAATACATGTATGTCTCCACATGTGAGAAGTATTGAGTTTTTTTTACATTCCGAAAATTGTAATTGCATTTCAGATTGTTCTTGAACATGGTTTTCACCCGAATAAGTTCATGCATTCTCTTCAGGTGATATACTACTATGTGTTACAGCTTGTTCTTCATCTTTATCTCCGAGGAAAGGTTCTTGCATTTGACTTTCCTTGCCTTGAATAGGAAGGAAAATCAGCACGTATCAGAAGCAATTATTACCTCTGATGTGTGCTGATCGTGCCAGTACAGTTTATCATAAATCAGGTCGATTGCCCAATGGTCTCTCATGTGAGAGTCCAGAGTTGGCTCGATCGCGACATATTTTTTTATCGTATTTATTACTCTAAGGTGCAAGCCCTGTACTACCACAGGCTATCACTGTGGAGTGATATCGTGATGAGGTACGTGTATATGTACTTCGAAGTAAATACGCCTCTTGCTTTTACCTACCGCTTTCCTTTTTCACTTCCTAGGATTCCCATTGGCCTAAGCCCTTGGAGCGTATAAACAAAACCTTTGAACTATTTAAGATCTCAATGCCGTAAAAGGCTGAGTTCCTACCTCCTTGTAGTGAAATTTCAAAAAAGTACAAGTCATAAAATACGAAATAGTGGTTGCGATTTCGGCGATGAGTGTTTTAGATATGGGTTTTCTCAAGTTTCAAGTCAAGTCGGCGAAATAGCGCGAGCTCCAGTGTGGGAGCAAACTCATTCTTAGTACAAGTCATGTAGATTTTAAAAGGCTATATCAGGTTCATTTTTCAACTGCCCAGAACTTGCAGTTTGCAATGATAATAAGAAGCTTCTAACTGCAACTGTTTTACGGATTATAGGTCCATCATGTCCTCCCACCCTATAACTAACCTTTTAACCTTTTTTTTTCAAAAATAACCTTTTACTCCAATCATTTGTAGAATCTAGGTTCATTAGAGTGTCCTCAATCTGATGTAATCTAAAAGTCTTGCAGATGTAGCCTTCGAGCTGATGCAAATGATTCAAATGAACTACATTCACTTTAGAAGTGGCATAACCAAGAGGACGCCTCTTTTACGTGCACAAGGCCTCTCTTGCGAAGTGACTTAGGACACAACAATTCGGACACATCGACTTCCAGTTCCCTGCCAGGCTAGACAGTGAGCAGCTGTGCACTCGGCGGTCGCCTTTTACATCTAGCCTTGTACACTTGCATATAATATCGAATTTCACTGCGCGCCTAACACACACCAGTACTCTACGTTCACCTACACGCGCGCACTACAAGGCAATAAAAAAAAAATTGTTTCAGGGGGGTTTCGCTGAATATGCCTCGCTCTCCTTCTCTTATACCAAAAACCAGAGTTTTGCAGGCGCCTAGGCAGTATAGGGGTTGAAAGTGATGACGTCAAAACGGGCAGGGAGTAGTAGGTTCACATCAGATTTCTACTTTTGGATCCACTGAGGTGTGACTTTGCTATTGGCTCAGTATGTGGGTGCATAGCAACCCACTCATGTCGTATGCAGGTGTGACTTTTATTTCGCCACCAGTTGGCACCCCGCCCCATTAGCCAAATTAGTCATTTTCACCCGCTATTATCACCTTGCTGTGAGTAAGACCGCTTGAAATGTGCTTGAATCCATACAAAACTGGATCCATGTGGGTCCAACTTCGCCCATAACACGACTTCGGATATAACAACAATTCGCGAATAACGACATAATTTTCATGCCCGGAGCAAAGTACCATCCAAATATGACACATACAATGAGACTTCGGATATAACGACACTTCGCGAATAAGGACACTTTTCTGATGCCCCGCCGAGTGTCGTTATAAGCGAAGTTGACTGTACTCACGATTGCAGAAATGGCCATTCTCCTGCTACACGTGTGCCTGCCTTTCTAGGCGTCGGAACAGTCGTGACGCCGAGCCAACGCACAGAATAGTGATCACGCACGCCGCACCCTGGAGGCAAAGCCACAGGGACGTGAAGCTAAGACAAAGAAGTAAAAGTAGCTGGGAACGAATCACTTCGTCTTACGTTGGTTGGCAGCCAACTTGCCCCATTGAAGAAGTTTCGTCAGTCTTCCAGGCAGTAGTAACAGACAATGCCCGTCCTCCCAGCATCCCGCTACTGCAAGGTCCACAGCCTCAGACTGCAATGTCAGAATTGCCGCAATTGTCTTTTGGTGAAGTAGAACGGCTTCTCCGACAAATCATTTCTGCCAAAGCAACAGGAAGCGACGGGATACCTGGTCCCCTTCTGAAGTGCTGTGCCGATATTCTAGCTTCGTCCGTGGCCACGTTGTTTAATGCCTCGCTTGTCAATGTCCCTGTCCCCACAGCCTTCACACTTGCGCACGTTATCCCGCTGTTCAAACTGGGGACCCCTCTATTCCCACTAACTTCCGTCCAGTGTCCCTACTTCCCATGTTGTCAAAACTCTTGGAAAAAGTCGTACAAAAGAAGCTAGCCCAGTTTCTGGACATATCTGGTACCCTCCCTACGACTCAGTTTGCATTCCGCGCAGGCCACTCAACGGAGGCTGCCCTGGTACTTATTCTAAATCGTATTCGTATTGCACGGGACAAGCGTTTGTGTACTGGCATATGCCTTCTAGATATGTCAAAGGCATTCGACAAGGTTCATTATGAACGGCTACTCCAGGACTTATTCGATATCGGCATAACAGGGACAGCCCTAAAGTGGTTATCCGCCTAGCTGTCGGGCCGTACTCAGCGTATCTGTATTGGACGGGATCAGAGTGCCATTTCTGCACCATCCTGTGGCGTGCCACAAGGTTCTGTTCTAGGACCAATCCTTTTTAGTATCTACACCCGCGAAGTTCCAACCATAGGTACTAGTAACCAGTCTTCATCAGTTCAATTTGCCGATGACTTCGCGCTGATCAGCAGCAGCACATCCCTGGACACGGTATCTGCTAGTGCTACGCTACCGGCCTCGGCTTCTGCACTTGCTGAACAGTTGAAGACCCGTGGTCTCATTTTGAATGCAGCCAAGAGCCAAGTGATCCCTGAATACCCCAACAGGCAGCCTCAGCAGCCCCAGCACACGATCAATGTAAACTGTCATGAAACGCCGATTCCTGTCGTTACTGCGGCCAGGTATCTTGGAGTGCTCCTCGACTCGGATCTGCCATGGACGCCCCATGTTGATGACCGCACCGCTCGACTGGCCCGGAGGATCGGAGCACTATGGAGGTTGCGTCGCTGCTTGACTCATCAGAGCCGAGTTCTATACTTTAAAGCGATCATCATGCCTGACCTGATGTACGGATCCAATGCGTTTTCCCCGCTTCTTACTGCCAACCAATTGGATCGGCTACAGGTCATGCAGAATCGGGCGGCAAGGGCGGTTTTCGCACTCTCGCATCACACCTCCGCGCGGACCCTCCTGCTGAAATTGGACCCCTATAGAGTATCCGAGATTTTCAGGCAGAAGTTCATCGTTCTTGTCTGGAGGTCTCGGAATGGGCATGCAAATTCTGACCTGCAAGCCTTCCTAGTTCCTTCGTCAGCTTGCCCAACTAGGTTGCACTCCACTATGGGTCTGTGCCAACCGCCAGTTTGCACCAGGTTCGGCAAGGGTTGCCTGGTGTTCCGAAGCGCCATCTGTGGAACACTTTACCCAGCGATATACGTGCTCCGCCCAGTTCCGCGCCAGCATGATCCCGCAAACCCTTAGTTCCTAGAGTACCAAACGTCCTGTTTGATGATTAGCTGGCTTAGTTTTCTCCACCTCTATCCTTATTACATCCCTCCCCAATTTCATTTATTACTGCTTTCTATCTGCATTCGCCACCTTTTCATTGGGCAGATCTGCCCGTTTGGTTTGCGAATTAAAATGAACACAACAACAACAACAACAACAACAACAACAACAACAACAACAACAACAACAACAACAACAACAACAACAACAACAACAACAACTACATGCAATGTACATGTATGTACCCACGTGCAGATGCAGTATTATCACTATTATCTCACATTTCTATAAGGACTTGAGATGACACGCTAGTCTTCCTATAATGTGTGTTAGTTTCCAATGGCAGTATGTATGGCCAATAATAATACTATGTAGAAAAAAGGAGAAACACATGAGAACGAGTTATGCAGCAATTATACACGATTGTAACAAGATGATAAACGGTCAGAAGTGCGATAATAGGGCACGAGCCTGACAGGCTACTGAGACATTCAGCGACCTAGCTCCAACACATCTCCAGTGCGTAAACCAACAGCCTTCCAACTTGGAAGGGTCATGGCTACGTAGGACCGAATAGGGGGGGGGGGGGCGCTCACCTTCTTGTTACAGTCGTGGATAGTTGCTGCATAATTCGTTCTCATGTTTTTCTTCTCTTTTTTGCATTTTATTACTGGCTCATTATCCGCGTTTAAAAAATATTATGCAGTGTCCAATTCAACTGTTGATACAACGTACCCATACATGTACATGTATATTGTATGTGCGGCAGGAAAGTGTAATCCGTATCACATAACATACAATGAACAATCGAAACGTTATCTTTATCTCAACAAAAATAATGTGGTATTGATCAAGAACAGCGTACTCCGGGCAGCTTCCGGTTCGAGCAAGACTAGCACATCAACACAATGGTTTAAAAATGCAATAAATCATACACTGGAGAAGAAATCAGAAAATGCATGTGTAAAATATAGAATTTCAAACGCAAACCAAAAAAACCTCAAATCATTTTTTTATAATTAAAAAAATCAATAAACTCAATTCAAAAGGAGGAAAACAATAACGAAACAAAAAACACTGCACTAACTTAATAAGAACGACAATAACCATCAAACTAAAAAAATCATCCAGAAAAATCAAAAAGAAAAAAGACAAAAACTTGATGAACAAGTAAACACAGTATAGAAGTTCAGAAAATTACGTAACAAGGCGAGACTCAGCCACCACGACGGAACTATCCACAAAACGTTGGACGTGGAAATTCCGACGAGAACGAGCACCACGGATAGAAAGAATACTGGATCTCAGTAAGGAGAAGTAGAGACGGGCACGCAGCACATGTACATGAATATTAATATATTATGAACGAAACGTTGATATATTTATTATTTTTTTAACATGTACACGTACATGCATGTACTGAGTGACTTTTTCCGTATCTACATGTACACTTGCCAGTATCTGACCTGTAATATGGTGGAGAATAAGCAAATCATAAAAATATTGTGGAAGTCGCTTAGTACGCACTCTGTTGGTTAACTTGCTTAGCACGAAGCATGTCCGGTAGTCTCCATTGAGTGCACGAATTATCAGTTTCACTGCATGTTCAGATTGGTTGCGGCAGCCCTTCCGCTGGCGCCTGCTGTTTGGAATGGTGAAGATGAGCGAGGATCGCGGATGCCAGGGATGTTGCGACCGTCACCCAAGCGATGATGAAGGATGCACCGTACTTCGTAAAGGGAGGTGATTCAAACTTCTCCTGCTTGACAAACCCGATAAAGGTGCTGGCAGACACAATCATGAATATTCCTGGGCAACAAACCCAAACACAATGAAAGAGAACGTTGGTCTTTAGTGTGGGATGAGTCCATTCACAGCACAAGACAGCATATCCCACTAATTCAAGTCGTGACGTTTCCTGATTTCATATTTTGAGCATCATTTATGGGACATCTTGTTTACTGCATGCCCTATAGAATTTGTGCATTGAAGAGATTTTGAAGGAAATAGGAGAGTTGACAACAGTGTTTTCCAAACAAGGAATGCCGGTGATCCTCATCTCGTTAGTGCGCCTTACGCTCTGTCGTATACGGGGCCACGCGTGATAACACTATGTGCGGACTTTTATATCTCCAAAAGATCATGGCTAAGTACATGTACATGTATGCTGATACCGGTACATGTACGTGTACATGTAGTTTGAGGCTTACCTGACACAGCAAAGAGTATGCGAGGACCTAGTACCACTACCAGTACTGTCCGAAGAGTGCCTTTCATCTCCATTGCGATGGACAGGATTAGGCCCATGCCAGCAAGGATCGTGGCAAGAAGGCCAAACGCCATAGCGGAGCGCCATGTGTCTACAATGAATGCAGAAAACATTGACAACTTGAAGTAAGTACAAGGCAATTGACTGCATATTGCTACTCATCGGTGAGAATTTCCACATGCACAGCGAAGATCGTCGAATCACCCTTATAGTCTAGGCGTGTACATTCTCGAACTGGATGCCGGTAATTATTGGAAAGAGAGCAAAGCGAAAACTGCCCTTGCAATAATTGTGATGCAATCGGGACTAGGCCAAGCACTGAAGTACAGAACCTAATCAAGTGCAAGGCACAAATCCGTTGATTCCCAAGTGCATGTACACCTCCATGCATACGTCATGCACATGTACATATTATGTATGCGAACACAATCTCTACAACTTGTGAGTTGCCATGGCCGTGCACGTATTTATAAGCCAGGCACAATATTGGCGATTGACAACCCTCGCGCAAGCCAGGAGCACCTCAAGGTGAGGACTTTACGCACGTACCGCATTCAGCCATCAGTATAAGAGATGTAAAATTATTACAATGTAACCCTTCATTTCTAGAAGATCTTCACTCACTTGACAAGTTTTCGATTCCAGGTTCCGAAATGTAGTATATACAAGCCTTTACTCGTATATCCGTCCCCATCTGGCATCGTCTCCACAGTCCAATGTCCAACCGAAAATTGAATTCCGGCAAGTTCACGTCCAGGACAAACCACTCTGGTACAACTGGATTAAAGATTAATGTTGAAGAAAGAAGACGCGATACATGCCACGGTCGCAGGATAGTATAGATTTCCATAAAAGTTAGTCTTCTACGGATTCTATCCCATCGTCCACTGCTTGTACTCTGAAAGTATATGTATACAAAGTACATGTGCAGACATGTACAACCAATCGGAAATCAAGTAATCAAGAGTTTTATAAGGCCCCAAGGGGGTGCAACTCTGCATTATGGGGTCTCCGATGTCGAAAACTCACATAACCCACTACGCAATTATTTTCTGGTTTGAGGGACGTGCACAAACGGGAAAAGTCTGAAGAAGAAATTGCCTGTCACCACCAGGACCCGAACCAGGGTCCTTCGCTTGTAGCTAGCGATGCTCTAACCTCTGAGTTATGGCGTAGTCGTCATCCCTGCAGAGACCATTCAACATTTTCTTCAGACTTCGTAACTCACAGAACAACATTCGGTGCCATTGCCGTACCAGTTACAAGTAAGAAAGTCGCCCCCAGTGTTAGGCATTGGCGGATAATACTCGAAAAGTTGGCAGATTCTACTCGAAAAGCAGTGAAATTGGCAGAACCATACAAACCTTTTGGCGGGCATTTCCTGGAATTCTGCTCCATTTCTTTACCCACATACCAAACATGACATGAAACGTATCAGAAAAAGTACCAAATTCTGCCAACTTTTCTGCCGGCATAATCCGCCGGTGCCTATTCACTTACCGTGAGCCGTGATCATCAGCGCCAGCGTAACGACAGCAACTATCAGCAGCGGTATACCTAGCTTCGCCATCTTCAACTGCTTTGTTACTAAAACTACAGATGATCGTAACTTGTCTGTGAAGCTCGGTGAAAATCCAACCTACGTTGTAATAAATCCGGATAGAAACGAACACAGTTAGGTTGAATGTAAGGTTTGGAGACGTATCCGACTATGCTCTTCAACGCACCAGCACTTCAGGCACAGCAGCAGTTATTACCAAGTTATTACAGAGATTATGATAGGGTATCTGACCAGTGGTCGCATTTTTATACCTCAACGCAAGGCACAGTACATGCCTGGTGCCCGCCACCCTCCTAGCACTTCTACTGTCGCGCCTTGGCCCGCGCCAGCTTTCTAGCCATACCTTACACCAGATTTAGCGCTACATTTGTTTATACTTGTGGCCCTGTAAGCATACTGTTGGGTAGATCCGAGTATCAGTTGTCTGATGATTGCCTAACTGCATGAAACTCAGAGTGACAAACAACCTGAACGTCCTCCGCGGAATCTGCTATGTACATGTACATGTACATGTACATATACATGTTTTGAGGTTAGTTGCTCGCATTACATCGAACAGTCGACGAACACCGCCAAACATGCAGTTTGCAATGATAATAAAAAGCTTCCAACTGCAACTGCTGTACGGATTTTATGTCCATATCCTCCCAACCCGTAATAAACCTTTTAACTTTTTATTAGAGACTCGGGTATTGAGCCAATACTTCCATATGTCCTTTTCCTTTCAAGAATTTTATTATTAAACCTTTTTCTAAATTAAATTTTCCGCCAATCATTTGTAGAATCTAGGCTCATTCCTAAGAGTGTCCTTAATCTGATGTAATCTAATAGTCTTGCAGATGTAGCCTTCGAGCCGATGCAAATGATTCAAAAGAACTACATTCCCTTCAGAAGTGGCATACATGTAACCAAGAGGACGCCTTTTGTGAGTGCACAAAGCCTCTCTTGCGAAGTGACTTAGGAGTCTAGGGACCGGCGGCTTATGCTCGCAAAGGTAGCAAAAAGCAGTGAAACTTGCAGAACCATACAAACCTTATGACGGGCAATTCCGCGAATTCTGCTCCATTTCGTTATCCACATACCAAACATGCATGAAACTTACCAGAAAAAGTACCGAATTCCGCCAATTTTTCTGCCGGCATAATCCGCCGGTGCCTTCTTAGGACACATAGACTTCCAGTTCCCTGCCAGGCTAGACACTAAGCAGCTGTAGACGGGGCGGTCGCCTTACACTTTCATGTACACGTACATGTACATGTACATGTACAATATCGAAACCCTTATATCACCTTGCTGTGAGTAAGACCGCTTGAAATGTGTTTGGATCCATAGAAAAACTGGATCCATGTGGATCTAGTTTTTTTTAAATTTTCAAATTCTTGCTATGCTGCGACGTTGCACTTTCAAGCCCTATTGTGGCTCTGCGCCTGAGCTAGAGTGCAAAGCCAGTCGTCCTAGCTGCTCAGCGTGTTCTCCGAGACACGTAAATGTACATGTATGCACATCAGTGGATAGTAAGCTAGGCGGCAATTGCGGTTGGGCGGAGGAAGTATAGTGTCAGTTTGGTTTTAGACGCGGACGAGGCACAGCTGACCTCCTCACAGCACTCCAGGGCGAATGGGTGAAGATTGTAGCTGAGGGGGGCTGTGTCCCAGTAGTAGCAATTGATATTGCCGGTGCGTTTGACCGCGTCTCTCACCTCGGCCTTCTCATCAAAGCAGAGCGAGTAGGCATCGGCGGACCTCTTCTCTCTTGGCTACGCGAATACCTGAGTAACCGCTGCCAAAAGGTGGTAACTGGAGGCCACGCTTCCAAGAAGTACCCCATCACTGCCGGAATTCCCCTAGGCAGCGTCCTGCGCCCACACTCTTCATATTGTTTGCTGCCGATATCGACCAATGCCTCTCGAATGGAGTAAAGCTCAGCTCTTTCGCCGATGACACTACCGTGTACAGTCTGATCAGACCAAACGAAAACCTCATGGAGAAGACAGCATCCTTACAGATAACCCTCAGCAATCATGCCGCATGGGGCCAGCAATGGAAGATCCAGGTCGAGCCCACCAAGAGCCAGCGCCTAATTTTCTGCAATGCTCGAAGGTCTGACTTTCCACCAAACACCTTTGCCGGCGAGATTATTCCGTACTCGGACAACCTAAAGCTGCTTGGAGTCACATTCGACTCTAAGCTTGTGTTCCAGCGCCATATCCATGCTGTCGCTGTCAAGGCCAGCCAGCGCCTGGGATTCTTGCGCCGTGCTGCTTGGCTTCTGGGTCATGAGGGCCGCATTGCCGTGTATAAGAGGTTCATTCGGCTCATCCTGGAGTACGCTCCACTAGCCACCATGTGTGCAGCCCAAATTCCACCTAGCACGCTATGACAGGGTGCAGGAGAAGGCAATGCGAATCATCGGACCTGGCACGATCCTTCAGAGCCTGTAACTCAGAAGGGCTGACTCATGGCTTGCATATGATGTACAAGTTGCACTACATTAAGAGCCCACCCCAGCTGACAGCCTTCCTCCCGCCACCGTCGGCGCCTGCACCTACTCCTAGAACCAGCCGACAACTAGCTTCTCTCGCAACCCTTTCCAGTTGCAATGGCCACTTGCTCGGGCAGCACCGAACTACCTACTGAGGTCATACCCCTACACCCTCATTGCGGCATGGAACGACATTCCTGAGCAAGTCATCCGGAACCTCCTGCATCGAAGGGAATGCAGGCCTTCAAGTCTCGCATTTGTCAGCAGGACTGGTTGTGGGCGACAGCATTCCATGGCTAAATTTGATGATGTTCCATTCTCCAGTCCCACAACGATCACCTTGTCTTCACCCCACTGAACTGTACCTTGCTCCCCCGAGCTCTCGAGACACCTCAGTGCAGAATGTTTTGCGTTAATGTTTCATTCTTCTCTTCTTTCCTTTTTGCTGCATATCGTGGCCCCTTTCTCGTTGATCCAGTGCCTGCTCACTACTCTTCCTGGCAGCAGCTCCGATCTAACATCTGCGTTTTGCCCCCCCCCCCACTGAAAGCAACGCAGCTGTTGGTCCATCGCCATAATTTCCTGAACTAATCTGGCGCTCACTCACTCACCCTCCCTTACTCGCCCCCCCCCCATCTGCTCCTCTCTTTCTCTCTCGCTCCATTATTGTTTGGCTCTCCGGTTCTAACTCTTCTCACACAGTCTTTCTTCTCTCCCTTTCCCCTATGGTGCGTGATGTGCGCCTTGATCCCAAGACCATTGGTCGGGGGAGCGCACTTCACCTCACTGGCACAGCTCAGTAGCATCTACCCGCTTTTTGTAGTCCCCTAAGTTCTCTTGATGTTATTCTTGTTCTTTCATCAAAATAAAAAAAGATAATACATGTATAGCTAGTGTACACCAAGCGATGGGAAGTATCATTCCACTGAGCTCATTCACCAGGTGACAATCAGATGTTGCACTTAGGTTGTATTCGTAGGTTGACACAGGGACACTTCGTTCAGTGCCTTCTCACCTTTGGTTACGTAATCTTGTTACCTTTTCGCGTTTCCTCTAGTGGTTTTATTGCACTTGCATCATGATTTCATGTGGCATTTCTAACACCGTTCTATTACTTAACTTCAGTTTCATTGGTATGTATCCTTTAGCTCCGAACTAGATATCCATTAGAATTTACTAGTACGGAAGGAGTCTGAGAAAGGGGCAGAGGTGTGTGAATGTTCGGTATTCCACGGAGCTCATGCAGCTACATGTACATGTATATTATACAGAGCGAGGTGCTAATTTGTATCAGGCATCAATAATAATCATACACTCTGCCTCTGCGAGCACTCTCAACACGCCGGGTGCATCCAAGCATTGTACATGCACTTCGACGTACATGCACAAGTGCACGTGCAGATACAATGTTTGTATTATCACTATTATCTCGCATTTCTAAAAGTATTTAAAAAAGACTTGAAATGACGCGCTAGTCTTCCTATACTGTGATAGTTTACAATGGGAGTACATGTATAGCCAATAACACTATGCACTGTCCAACTTAACTGTCGATACAATGCACCCATACATGTACATGAACATGAATATGCATGTGCGGCAGGAAGGTTTAATCAGTATTCTCATAGCATACAATGTACAATTGAAACGTGATCCCAATCTCAACCAAAATCATGTGGCATTGATCAATAAGAGCGTACTGCGGCGGCAAGCTTTCGTGTCGAGACAGACTAAATAGTATGTATTCGCAGAGTACGTACGGAGTGAGTGTCACTGTCATTTTCACTGTATGTACATGTAGATGAGTGTACATGTATCTGATCTGTAATATGATGGAGAATAAACAAATCAAGAATATTGTGGAGGTCGCTTAGTACTGCGTAACGCACTCTGTTGGTCAATTTAACTTGCTTAGCAAGAAAGCATGTCAAGGAGTCCCCAATAGGTTGCACGAAATATAAGTTGCACTGCATGCTCAGATTTGCACAGACAGAAGAACGAACAGTTGTGGTTTCGTAACTCTGAGTTTCACGAACTTAATCGACCCTCAGACGAAAATTGGCTCTCTTTTCCTTGGGCAAATTGAGCCCTCTACGGACGGTGGATGAACTTCATATGTTCAGATTTGTTGTGCCAGTCCATCCGCAGGCGCCTGCTGCTTGGAGTGGTGCAGATGAGCGAGGAGCGCGGATGCCAGGGATGTTGCGACCGTCACCCAAGCGATGATGAAGGACGCACCGTACTTCGTAAAGGGAAGTTTGTCAAATTCCTGCTGCTTGACAAACCCGATAAAGGTGCTGGCAGATACAATCATGAATAGTCCTGGGCAAGACATTCAAACACAATGAAAGAGAATGGTGACCTTTGTTGTGGGATGAGTCCATTCACAGCGCGAGACAGTATGTCTCACTACTAATTCATATCGTGATTAAAGGTTTGCTGAGTTTATATCTGAGCATCATCTATGGGACATATTGTTTACTGCATGCCCTAGAGAATTTGGGCATTAAGGGGATTTTTTAGGGAATAGGACAGATGACTACAGTGTTTTCCAAACGAAGAATGCCTGTGATCCTCACCTCATTAGTGCGCCTTACGCTCTTTCGTGTACGGAGCCACGCGTGATAACACTATGGGTGGACTTTTATATAGCCAGAAGATCATGGCTAAGTACATGTACATGTATGCTGATACCGGTACATGTTCATGTACATGTATATGTACATGTAGTTTGAGGCTTACCCGACACAGCAAAGAGTATGCGAGGACCTAGTGCCAGTGCCAGTGCTGTCCGAAGAGTGCCTTTCATCTCCATTGCGATGGACAGGATAAGGCCCCAGCCAGCAAGGATCGTGGCAAGAAGGCCAAACGCCATAGCGGAGCGCAAAGTGTCTACAATGAATTCAGAAAACATTGACAACTTGAAGTAAGTACATGGCAATTGACTGCATATTGCTACTCATCGGTGAGAATTTCCACATGCACAGCAAAGATTGTCGAATCACCCTTATAGTCTAGGCATACATTCTCGAACTGGATGCCGGTATTTATTGGAAAGAGAGCAAAGCGAAAACTGCCCTTGCAATAATTATGATGCAATCGGGACTAGGCCAAGCACCGAAGTTCAGAACCAAATCAAGTGCATTGCACAAATCCGTTGATTCCCAAGTGCATGTACACCTCCATGCATACATGTACGTCATGCACATGTACATGTACATGTATGCGAACACAATCTCTACAACTAGTGAGTTGCCATGGCCGTGCACGTATTAAATATAAGCCAGGCAATATATTGGCGATTGACAACACTCGCGCAAGCCAGGAGCACCTCAAGGTTAGGACTTTACGCCGTACCGCATTCAGCCATCATTACATACAGGAAAGAGATGTAAAATTATTACAATGTTACCCTTCATTTCTAGAAGATCTTCACTCACTTGACAATTTTTCGATTCCACGGTCCGAAATGTAGTTTATACAAGTCGTTACATTTATTCCACTCCTCATCCGGCATTGTCTCCACAGTCCAGTGTCCACCCGCATGGCGAAATCGAGTTCCGGGAAGTTCACGTCCAGGACAAACCACTCCGGTACAACTGGATTAAAAATTAATGTTGACGAAAGGAGACGCGATACAGGCCAGAGTGACAGGATAGTATAGATTTCCATAAAAATTAGTAATGTACGGATTCTCTCCCATCGGCCACTGCTTGTATTCTTAAAGTACATGTACGTCAAACCAATCGGCAATCTAGTAATCAAGAGTTTTATAAGGCCCCAAGAGTGTGCAACTCTGCACATGGCGTCTCCGATGGCGAAAACTCACATCACCCGCTATGCAATTATTTTCTGGTTTGAGGGAAGTACACATACGGGAAAAGTCTGAAGAAGAAATTGCCTGTCACCACCAGGACCCAAACCAGGGACCCTCGCTTGTAGCTAGCGATGCTGTAACCTCTGAGTTATGGTGTAGTCGTCATACCTGCAGAGACCATTCAACATTTTCTTCAGACTTCGTAACTCACAGAACTACATGTACATTCGGTGCCATTACCGTACCAGTTACAAGTAAGAAAGTCGCCCTACGGTTAGGGATTTGCGGATAATACTCGAAAAGGCAGATTCTGGTCGATAAGCAGTGAAATTGGCAGAACCATACAAACCTTTTGGCCGGCACTTCCTCGAATTCTGCTCCATTTATTTATCCACATACCAAACATGCATGGAACTAACCAGAGAAAGTACCGAATTCTGCCAATTTTTCTGCCAGCATAATCCGCCGGTGCCTGCCTATTCACTTACCGTGAGCCGTGATCATTAGCGCCAGCGTAACGACAGCAACTATCAGCAGCGGTATACCTAGCTTCGCCATCTTCAACTGCTTTGTTACTAAAACTACAGATGATCTAAACTTGTCTGTGAAGCCCGGTTAACATCCAACCTACGTTGTAATAAATCCGGTCGGTAACGAACACAGTTAGGTTGAATGTAAGGTTTGGAGACGTATCTGACTATGCTCTTCAACGCACCAGCACTTCAGGCACAGCAGCAGTTATTACCAAGTTATTACAGAGATTATGATAGGGTATCTGACCAGTGGTCACATTTTTATACCTCAACGCAAGGCACAGTACATGCCTGGTGCTCGCCACCCTCCTAGACCTTCTACTGTCGCGCCTTGGCCCGCGCCAGCTTTCTAGCCATACCTTACACCAGATTTAGCGCTAAATTTGTTTACGCTTGTGGTCCTATGCGTTTGTAAGCATACTGTTGGGTAGACCCGAGTATCAGTTGTTTGATGATTGCCTAACTGCATGAAACTCAGAGTGACAACCAACCTGAACGTCCTCCGCTGAGTCTGCTATGTACATGTACATGATTGTACATGTTTTGAGGTTAGTTGCTCGCATTACATCGAAAAGTCTACGAACACCGCCATTGTTCATTCTGTTGCCCACTCAGTACTTAGGCAGAACCTTTACATCGCCAAAAAACCTGCACCGGCATACTGGAAGCAATGACATCGTGAACTTTACATTCATTGATTAGTGCATTGGAAAGCATGCTACGCCACACCGCATTGCAGCTTTTTGTTGCGTTAGTCCGTGTCACAGCCTTACTATTACTACTAACATCTGTACATAGGCCTGCGATACATGTCATGTACATGTATAATCTATGTATGTCCCCACAGGCCGGTAGTGGTCAGCATCCTGAGGTGCCTTCTTTCCTGCTGCTCTGCACTTCAGCCCAGGTTGGCGAGCTGGCCATCTCAAATCTACACGCGGGCTTCGAGTTTGAAAATTAATCACTAGCACTTTTCCCAGCAAACACTGATACAGACGTGGAATTAAATTATTTCCTAGGCAGCAAGAGATGCGAATCAATACCCGACCTTTGTCACTCACAATTCAGGAAACTGTCAATGCCACTGGCTGTACTTGCAGCATTCCTGGGCTACCTTGCGCACGCCACTCACATTGTATAGATTCATTGTTCCTTGAGTGCACCGAACCACAATCGATCTACATTCGATGAGGCAATCGACTCTCGGCCTAACTGATAATATTATTATAGTCTACAGTGAAACCTGCGACTAACGACCACCCGGTACCCCTTGAGCCCAGAAAAAGCCGTCTTTAGTCAATGGCTCGTGGTCCTTAGTTAGACGTTTGCAAAAGTGACTGATTTTTTGCGTGTAGTGTTTTTGGATTTTACTGCAAGAGGAATGATGAAGTCACGTGCCTCGTGACACAAGAATGCCATGTCTCGCAGATCACGGTTCAGCAGTTGTTCCGAGTCACCTGTGATCAAGCGCACCAGCACATACATGTATCGCCCGTTGATCTAGATCGGATCAAGTGCATCTTGAATCTTGATGTCCAGCTCAGAGCACGCATGTCGTGTTGACTGTTGTAGGCCTTCCAACCGGGACTTTCCCTCAACATGCAGCACAGAGACAAGGGCGAGTAGTGTCAAATCACGTTGTTCATGACGTAAGATATCTGCCATTGGCGCCACTCGACAACTACTTGCGCGATTAGCACGGTCAGCTTAAGTACGGACAATATGGCTGCCACCGGAAGATTAAGGCGAGTCTAAACCCGGAGGAGCAGCTTCTGGTTGAGGTCCGAGATGATAAGGGACTCTCATCTTGGCTTACCGTAGTGCCCAGGTTCCAGGGCGGAACAGTTCCGAAGAAGACTTACTTCAGGGATGCACTCTGCATTCGATACGGCCGCCGTTCGGTGGGCCTTCCGGATACATGTGTTTGCCGTGTAGAACTCAGCGCACAGAATGCGCTCACCCACACAACTGGTGGCTATATATATATATGATAGCGCGCCATAATGAGGTGCGCGGTTTGATCGCGCATCTGCTCCGAGAGGCCGGGACAGAGAAAGTTGAGACAGAGCCGAGATTGTTGCCTTGTGCGGGCGGGGACATCCCGGCAGGGCGATCCGTCAACAGGTGTGCCGAAAGTCCTTAGCCTCGATGTTCGTGGAGCGGAACAGTGGACTGAACTATTCAGTGGTGATGGGCTTGTTGCGCACCAGATTGTCATTTTGTTACATGTAGATGGGCCGTCAATTGCTTCAGAGGATACCGCCCATCATACAGTGACAGGTCCCGGTTGAACTCGTTTGTTGCGCAGTGTCGCCAGGCTGAGTAAGCACTTGCCCTTGGCCGTATGTACTTGGTGTTATTCCTATTTATTTTGTATTTTACTCCAATACCTACCAGTTCAACATAATATCGCCAATGTTTAGGCTGTTGTGTTCAATCGTTCACAAATTGGTTTTGAGAAGACTTTGAGTTGATTTCCCTGATCACCACCTGGTCAAAACAATATGACCAATGTTGTATTGCTTTTGTGTTTAATTGTTTATTTTGATATTATTTTGATATTATTTCTCCACTTTAGTTTGATGATAATATTATGATGATATGCATGTTGACTTGGCTTTTCCTATGGAGCTGGCAGTGATTGTTGCAATGATGATGACGACATCAACACTGAAATCCAAGAGCTGTATTGACCTACTTCATCCTGCTGTCTTGTGGATCGCGAGCAAAACTCTGATGCATGTGTTTACTGCGTCATGAACAGAGCTTTTTTGTTTTGCTATAATTATGTAAATACTTCAAAGCTTGCAAACTGCTGAATATGTAAATAATTTGGTTGTGTCACTTGTACAATGTATATCATTTTGGTCGCTCTTTGCTATTCTTTGCTGCTGCACCGCTTGAGACAGACATGTAAATAGTTTGGTTGTCTTTTCACTTGTATTATAATTATGTCGGCTCAGAGTCATTGCTACTGTATTCTACTTGCTGCTGCGCTTGAGTACATGACACTGCGACAGCCAATGTACTTTTCATTTTTTGTAGCACCAACACTAAATTTGTATCAGGGACTGAGCGCCACATTACACAACTCAAAGTTTGACAGCCATGCCACAGACTCGCATGAAAATCAATTTGATCGTGTTTGTACAGTTGCTCGCACTGACCTTGCAAGTCCACCTACATTATTCATAATTGTTATGCTTGCAAGTCCTTAGTAATTTTGCATAAACTTTTTTGCTTTTTTTAAATGTATTCAGCTGAATGATGTTTTATTGCCACCAGGGAGTCGTACCCTCCCTGACTGCCACCAACTGGAGTCTAAAACGGACTCTCTATGCAGAAACCCACTATACTCTAGAATATCTGGGTTCAAGTACATGTACAATTTCCGTATGCAGCGGGAGATCGCCATATCTGACAAACGGACAACTGTACAGACTTGCCGATACTTTTATCGTCTTCAGCAGCCACAACTTAGTCAGAAAAAGCTCTAAAAATGTGTGAGCTCCTACTGGTTACGAGTTTCTAGAAAATACCACCTCGGACTGTAGACTAATGTGGGCGCGTCACATACCCCATGCAACCAGTGTAGGACGTGTGCTGGTCAACTCCAAGCGACCTTGATGGCATGGACCACGGCCATTCCTTGCTGTTGCAGATCTACGTGGATCATCAGCATGTAAACTAGCCGTAGTTCCTGTTGAACCATGTTCGGGATGAGCGAGGTTAGTGTGAAAAAATGCCTCCCTGTTCTTACTTCAAGAGGAAATATCTCAAAGAATTCTTGCCAATGCAGTACTGCTAGCATTATAACGATAGTTTCTGCATGTTCTGAGCAGAGCATGCAAGAAATATAATGCATCTTACCTCCTCCCTCATGGTCCGTTTCGAACAGCGCCTCGAGAACGACCGTGATCGGGTGCATTGTGTCGTGCACCAGAAAGCATTATTTTACGTCACGAGGCACGTGATTTCATCATTCCTCTTGCAGTAAAATCCAAAAACTACACGCAAAATTCAGTCACTTTTGCATCAACTGTTGCACCGAAAAATGTTGGTGGCGCAAGGAGAAGCTTGTCGTTTGGAGTGACAAGTGATCACCGCTACTTTCCCTTGTCAGATTCAACAATACATTTTGTTCTGCAGCGTTGAGAGTGGTGTTGGAGTAGAAATTGCTGACTAGACGTCGCGGAGGGGCGAGCTTTCCTGCGCAGGTATGAGTTTGGACGTATTTCAGAATGGTCGAGTGGAAAAATTCAAAATTGTTTATTTCAAGAAAACCCAAAAAGGATGATGGGGGACATGTCCCCAGTGCTAGAAGAGGTGCTCTACTATCTGCCGGTGTATAGTGTTTGCTAATTGAGGACGTAGCTGGTTGTTTTATCAGCGCTTGTAATTTGGCTATTTTCAAGACGATCATTTGTGGCGTCAAGGGATGATTGCCCTCGTCTTCTGCGATGCTGGCGTGGCTAAGTGGTGCTGCCCCAAGAACTCTTCTAAGGTTAGGTAATGTTGGCTTGATGGAGTTTTGTTCGTAGCTTGTTCTTGTACGCTGTGCCGTAGCTCGTTTGTAGACCCATAAATCGTGCCAATATTGGGCCAATATTGAGGGGTAGGCCAATTTTATGGTTCCCTTCAAAAGATTTTGCGCGGGCTTTGGAATTTCGATCTACACCCCAAAGCAAACCTACTTGCAAAATTTGAGCGAAATCTGAGAGATCGAATTTCACATTATGTTCTGGTTTTCTCAGACATGCTCTCTTAAGGTTTTTTCTTCTACGGTTTGGCCTTGATCCAAGACGGCCTTCTTAAATCGACTTTTCAAAGTTTCAAACTGGCATTATGGAATAGTTTGAGCATTATAAGTGGCATTGTATCCTCATAATTATTTTGAGCATTCCCTTTAGCATTATCGCTGCAAATAACTAGCATTACCCGCCCATGCGTATTACCAAGTGCATCTCAACGAGTTTCTTGCATGTAAAATGTACATGTACATGTACATTGTATAAAATTATCCATGCATATGTATTATTATAGTCAGATAGTCATTTTGAGGTGATCGACGGTTGAGGCAAATTTCCGTAGTCAAGTATCTTACCTGCACACCCATCAACGCAATTATACGTATATGTACATGTACATGTACAGTACATGCTTTTGATTCCTCTCGAGTGTGTGTACATGTACATGTACATGTACGTATAATTGCGTAGATGTACATGTATGTACATGTACAGTCTAGGGACCGGCGGATTCTGCTCGAAAAGGTGGCAGATTCTGCTCGAAAAGCAGTGAAATTGGCAGAACCATACAAACGTTATGGCGGGCAATTCCTCGAATTCTGCTCCATTTCTTTACCCACATGCCAAACATGCATGAAACTTACCAGAAAAAGAATCGAATGCTGCCAATTTTTCTGCCAGCAGAGTCCGCCAGACCCTAAAATGTACACCCACCCAACCAAAAAATGTAAGCGAGGCAGCCTCCAGGGGGCAGAAAGGATCAAGCGGAAGTGCTTCTACCTCGGAAATGTCGATCCTGGGTGTGAGGCTGACTCTATCAGGGAGTGGTGCAAAAAGAAAGCAGTTGACGTCCTCAGTTGCTCAATTTCGGAGTCCAAGTACTTTGGTACTGCTTATGCTCACCTTGTTGTTCCGGCTGAGCATACTGACCAGGTTCTCGAAGAAGGTTTCTGGCCAAGCAAAGTTTCCATCAGGGAATGGAGATTTGCATCTGACAGCACAACCTTGGATCAGTCTGCTAGTAACTAAACCATCCAATTGGACCCACACCCACCTTCCTCACTGAACCCACACGCACACCCATTCTTTCCTACCAGACACTCCCTTCCCACTCACCAGCATTCTACACCACCCCAGCTCACACTCCTATCAACAAACTGTCGTTCTGTAGTAAATAAGTGTACAGAGCTTACTATTGTTGCTGAAGAGTGGCAGCCTGACATAATCTGCCTAACTGAAACCTGGCTCGACCCGAATATTGCACTTAATATTACGCGTTATGACACCTTCCGGAGGGACAGGCCCCCTGCAGAGAATAAGTCCGGGACAAGTGCAAGAGGTTATGGTGGTGTCGCTATCCTTGTTCGACAGAATAAGTTGAAGTCTGTTGCCATACGTCCCGATCTAGCTCGCGATGGGTGCGAAGCCGTTTGGGTTCATTTCCAGCCGTATCCGGCTGCAGCTGAGCCGATCCTCCTCTGCTGCAGTTATCGTCCACCTTCTGCTAAGCCAACAGATATAGCAAGGTACTGCTAGACTCTCGAAGACGTACTCATTACTCTTCCTCTTTCATCTTCTCACGTTATCTTGACAGGTGATTTTAACAGCAAGCACACGTCACGGTGTTCGACAGATTCCACCAATACTGCCGGTGCTGAATTGTATCGCACGCTCAGTCTATTTGGTCTTCACCAACTCGTCAACACATGTACATACACGTCACCCTCTGGTGTCCAAGCCTGCTTGGATTTGGTATTTAGTAACCGTGCCAATCTCTCGTCTTGCGTCGAAACTGACTGCCCTCTGGGCGCCTCAGACCATGCCATTGTGTACTGCCAGTTCGACATCCCCCTGCCTCAGTCTCCCCGCGAAATAACGTCTCAAGCTCAGGAGTCTAACCCTATGTCTTTCGATCTCCGACACGTCACACCTGCTGTGTGGGAGGCAGTCAATGCAGACTTAGACTCAGTACCTTGGAACTCATTAATATCCTCAGACGTGGACAGTGCACTTAGTAACCTGCACAGTGTCCTGCAGACTGTGCTGTCCAAGTATGTTCCCCTTCATAGCTCCTGCAAACCAAATCGAACTCCCTCAACCCCAGGGTCTACACGCAAATATCATCCATGGGTTTCCACTGAACTACGCAGGGCTATCAAGTTGAAGCGTGACCTATTCAGCCTCTCCAGGAAATTCCCTACGGACTACAACCTATCAGCATATAAGGCACAGCGGAACCAGGTGAGACATCTCTCCCGCTGGTGCCACCGCCAGTACATTCGTTCAATCAAAACAACACTTACCTCAGGCAGCACTACGCTTCACCAGTTTGTCCGCAGTCAGCGATCGCACAAAGTAAAACCTGGCATCCCTGACATTGCAAGCCCTGATGGGCTGCTGGTGTCCGACAGCTTCCAAAAAGCAACCATCCTCAACAAGCAGTTTACCTCTGTCGCGGTGCCTGATGACCCACGTTTAGTAATACCCCCTCTCCAATATGACACTCGTCTTACTCGCCAATTCACCCGCGTTCATATCACTACAGCAGATGTTCGTAAAGCCATCTCAAACCTGAAATCTGGGAAAGCGCCAGGGCTAGACGGTATCACGAACAATATGATAAAGAAGCTAGCTCCTGTGATTTCTTTTCCACTTAGCCGCCTATTTAACCTCTCCTTTACCACAGGCAAGTTCCCTACTGACTGGAAACTGGCTAAAATTGTGCCTATTTACAAGTGCAAAGGCAGCAAATCTCAAGCTAGTAACTATCGCCCAATTTCCCTCCTGTCTTGTATTTCCAAACTTTGCGAACGGCTCTTCTTCAATCAATTGAATAATCATATTTCTCCTGCTCTGGATCCCGCGCAATCTGGGTTTCGTCGTGGTGACTCGACCGCTCTACAGCTCACCAAGCTGATCCAAAACATTGCCGACCATCGTCATATGGGGAGGAAAGTTGCCATGTGCTTTTTCGACCTCGAGAAAGCTTTCGACACCGTGTGGCACCGTGCATTACTTGCTAAACTTTCCAAAGTTTTCGGTGTGTGTGACTCAGCGCTGGAGTGGATTACAGACTACCTATCCGACAGAACGCAAGTTGTCTTTGTAGGTGGAACTCTCTCAGATGCTTCACCTGTTCTGTCCGGAGTGCCCCAGGGATCCATCCTAGGGCCCCTCCTTTTCCTAGTGTATATAAATGATCTTCCCAGTCATGTTGAAGGTGTGTCCTTATTTGCTGACGATACTGCACTGCTCCGGTTCAATGAGTGTCTAGACAGGCTGCGAGACAGTCTCCAGCGCGGTATCAACGAAGTCCATCAGTGGATGACTACCTGGAGACTAAGACCTAATATCGCCAAGACTGAGATATTATTCCTGCCGAACTCAGAGCCAACCTATGCATTCACTCTTCCCGGATCCCTCACAGACCTCACAGTGGTAAAACAACACAAACATCTTGGTTTGGTCATTGACTCAGACTTATCGTTTAGTAGACATGTCGACTATATCTGTAGCAAAGTCAGTAAAGCTGTTGGCTACCTCGTGTCTCACTGCTCCCACCTACCGCTTGAATGCATTCGCCTTTTTTATCATTGCTATATTCTCCCCATTTTTCTCTATTGCTCAACCGCCTGGTCATTCCTACTTAGTAAATCGTTAATGAGTACCCTGGAAGTCCACAATAAGAGGATACTCAAAGTCCTTTTCCGCAAACCATCATACTTTCCTTCTGCCGAGTTGTATGATATGTTTAACACCTTCCCTATCTCTAGTCAAGCGGATCGAAAACTTTGTATTGTTGTTCATTCTATTCGTCTTGACAAAGCCCCGCCACACTTGCGTAAATATAACTGGTTTCTTCCCACTCGTCCTACGCGCAATCCCTGCACTTTGCCTAAAGCCCGAACCTCAGCTTATACCAGATCTCCGTTTTTTGCTGCCTATTCTCTCTGGCTGGCCCTGCCTCTATCAGTAAAATCGTCTTGTACGCTAAAGGATTTCAAGGCCAACATGAAGCTCGTGTTCTAATAACTGCTAGTTCTTCATCCACATTTGTTTCTCTTTGCCTCCAGTAATGTGTAATATTTATTTATTTTTGCTTTGTTTTTGTTTACTGCCATGGCTGGCTACCGCCCCCCTCCCTCCATATTGGCCTATATTCTCTGGCCACGGGAAGGTGAAATAAATAAATAAATAAATGTACAATAATATTAGGACACATCATACAATGTACATATACATGTACATTGTATATTGAAAGGTTTATTTATAACCATGCGAGTTCATTGAAAGGTTTAGGCTGCTTTCGTTACCTTTTACATTCCCTCCTCCTCAGCACACCGCAGGCAATGCATTTTACATGTACGTGTACATGTACGTTTGGACGTGTGTACATGTACATGTACATGTATTTGCATGCTTAGATAAGAAATTTGATGAATTCTTTTTTTCGACTTTCAAAGAAAAGGACGAGCGGAATCGACATGTGTAACGACTTTATTTTACTTCGAGGAACAAGCAAATCATGGAAGCCAACTAAGGCTGTGATGGACAATCAATAAACAAGGGGCTGAGTACATGTACAAAAGAAAGTACATGTACATGTATGTGGAGAAACAAAAATGGTGGATAATGATTGACGCCAAACTAGCTTTCGCACAACGCTCATCCGGAAGAAACGCTAAACTGAAGGACAAATTAATGCGACGGGTGGCTATGGAAACGAAATTCAAAAGTGAGAAACGATACTCGCAACAAGGCAAGTAGCAGTGGAGGGAGTGAGTTTTAATGTATGTGTACAAGAGAGTTAAATTGACAGACATATTATGGAGAGTCCGGGGCTTGAACAGCGCCGGGTAGACGAAAAACGCTTACACTGTGCGATAATTCAAGGGAGGAGGAGAAAGGAATTCAAGGATAGCATCCCTGACATTCATACAGGAGGGCAGCCAGGACTGCGACTGGTTAACTAAAGTAGAAAGGAAAATTGTGCTGGAGTATCAATGCCACAGTGGTTGTAGTCGAATGCTCAGTGCACTATTCGAATGACATGTGTATGTACATTTGCGTGTATGGGTAAAGTCGTTGTATTGATTAAAAGTCGTGTATGATTGATAGAGTGGGGAACAGACAAGTGTGTGCAGGAGTACAACAGGGCACACGATGCTTTGGACACTAGTTTAATAGTTACTCGGTTATCACGGAAGCACGAACCATAGCAAATAATCAAGTGTTCCGGTCAGCAGTATCCTTTCTTGACACCCGAGAAAACGAGTTCTGTGAAAGATAAAGAGATTGTTCATAAAACAAATAATCAAAATCTATTCTGATATTTAAACAAGCGTGTCGGAGACAGTAGTGTTAATGTACATGTAGCTACAAGGAGGACTAATTGTACTGTAAGCATTTCCTATAATGTCGACATGTACAATGTACATGTATGTGTGTAAAAGATTCTATTTTTCCGAAAAAGAAGGATTTCGAGGCAAAAACAGCAGAGATTAGCCTACAGTGAAAATGTTGCCTGATAGCCCTGGGAGAAACTTCAAATATAGACAAGAAACATTCTTGCAGATTAGGCTACAGTGCCGTTTTCTTGGATAGCCCCAGGGAATCTTCCATCAGTAATTTCACATTGCTCTTACTCGATTAGGCTGAAGCAGCTTTCGCGGAATGATGGACATGTGCCAGCAAGGCTGCCACGAAGGCCGGAACCAACGTGATCCATGCGATGATGTAACTGGCACCGTAGGTTGATTTAAAGCTCGCGGCCCCGCTGGGGCGAGACGTTTGGACATTAGTATCCTTGCTGATGAAGGCGACGAAGCTGAGTGCGGCAATGGCAATCGCGATACCTGAGTAAAATAACCAGAAAGATACCAATATACAATGAAGCATGGCAGGAGGACATACATTCAAAATTGTTGGCACCATTCTAAAGATCCGTAGATATTTTCCTGAATTGAAAATGCTGTTTGTGATGATCGCTTAGAGCATGAAACTCGAATTAAAAAACACTATTTTCATCCCCCTATTCCTCCTATTCTTGTTCAATTTACAATGTAGTGTAATGATTAGCACCTTTTGTACAAGAAGATATTTTATGCTCGTATAATAGTTCCACATGGAAATAAAAAATGCATATTAACCTTCTGACGAAGACATTGCAAATACCTTCCAGGATCCAGGCGTAGTGGGGTTGGGTGTTAGAATGATGCACTGGAAACTGGCCTAGGGTATGAAGTGGTGAATACTGGTATCACATGACTGCGGAGCTAGTTCAGAATCCATGCATAATACGTGGATCCGCTTATCCTAATGCAGAACGAACTTGCAAACTTACAACACATCTATGTTTGCTGGAGCATATGCACCTGTAGATTAGATTGTACTTCTTTCAAAATAATCCAGAGTACGTCACTAAAGTCGGTTCCAGCCCTGCTTGGTCTCTGCCTCTATCTATCCATCTATCTATCACCTATCTATCTATCTCTCGCGCTCTCCGTATCTCTGTGTCTCTGTATCTCAGTCTATGCAACTGTATCTGTCTCCGTCTCTCTCTGTCTGTCTCTCTTTCTCTGTCTCCCTCCCTGTGTGGACATTTATCTCTCCATACGTACCAGATACAGCGAAGAAGATGCGAGGCAGCCGCAGGAGCTTGACCTTTGTGCTGTCATACTCAATAACCAAGGTGCTGATCAAGGCTATACCTGCTAATATTGTGGCTATAAGGGAGAAGGTCTGAGCCGAACGGAGGCTGGCTGAATACAGAAATAGAAAAGAAGATACATATTATACACAATGTTTTATTTGATACTCGGATATTGAACCAATGATGTTTGTAGACAGGAAATGGACATAAAGAATGTCTCAGTACTCTGTCAGTTGTGTGCCTAGTTGGTGCACTTTCTGACTGCACCGCATTATAGAATAGAATATATAGTTACTATGGTCGTCAGTTACATTTTGCAAAATACTTGTGTCCAAACAACATGAACCTGTAGTCATGTACGTGCACAGTGTACAAATGTAAAACAGACAGATTCTATGATGATCAATAGTGTGCTCGATGCCCAAAAGCACATCTACATGTACATGTATTTACAACCGAAAGAAGAGGATGAAGATTTCGTTGTTCGCCCGAATTTCATGCACGAGGCGGTCATCAGGCAACAGCCATGGGAAACATCTGGATGAGTCGCAACGAAATAGTTAACTCCTCTTCTTGTTGTACATGCACCTGTTACACTACTTCATACGTTGCATACTATTAGTTATTGGTACCATCGACAATATGCAGTAACTTGTTTCAACACGTTACAGCACAATCCGAGTGGATATCCTGTTCACGGATGGTTACGTGCATTATACGGCAATCAACTAAACAGATCTTGCCCGTGCTGATCTCGTTCCATCGGGCTATATGGTCCTTTCGGTAGCAGGAATTACGTACCCTAGAAGTATACCACACAAAGAGGCATGATATCTATAGCCCATTGAACGCTGATGACGTCTATAGACGTCATTGAAAATGCCCCCCCCATGCGCGGGATGACGTCTATAGACGTCATGGAATATATAGTGATTTCTGGCACTGTCTGGTGTGTAAAAGCACTGTTAGTCAGTTGGATCATGAACCTGCCTCTTGTACGATAGGTCGTTGGTACGAATCCCGCTTGGAAACACAACGCGTCTTTTTTCTTCTCTTTTCAGCGATCTTTCAGCTGCAATTTCACGCATTTGGCGTATTTCACGCAATTTGAGCAAACTTGCGTCCCCTATTGTGAGGCGCTATTCTTTTGGGGGACTGTATCGATTCTGTCACCCTGTGGTTGATAGTCTTGGCAATCATTTCCAAAATATTTGAGGACCCCAGTTGCCAGAACCCTGGAGTTTTAGAACTTGCTATTGGCCCTGTTTTTAGCATTTTATATGCAGAGTACCATAGGCAAGGCCCAGTAGCGCTGAATGGGTTAAATATGAAAATGAGACCAAAACGTCGCGTAATGATTACATTGATAATGGTGGGCAGCTCTGCATAACGTTTGGTCACCAGCATTTGTCAATCAGGCTTTTATCTTTTTTCCGAGTCGTGGTCTCGTTCTTGGGATTGCCCAGCCTAATAAGTTTTGATTGTTTTCCCTCAAGAAATTTGCTATTAATTTTGTATTTGTAATTTTGCATTCTCCACAAGCCTAAGCCTAAATCGAGGGAGTCTCCGTCAACAGCTTATGAAGAAGCACAAACTGAGGATAGAAAATAATAATACATGCAAAACAGATGGAACGACGCGGAGTGGTAGGAAATTAACCCAGAGCTATCACCGTGCAGTATTCGCAAGTGCACTTCCATCTCGAACTGCTCGCTTACCGGGAAACTCTGGTTCCGTGATCTTGATTGCTGTGCATGTAGCAAACCTGAGTCCTGCTACGTTCAGCTCGTCACATTCCCGCCAAATTCCGGTGTCGATTTTTCGGCTATTTCCAAGCATGTCACTCACGGACTGCTCGTACCACTTTGGTACAGCTGTGTGGGGAAACAGACAACGTGCACGCAGTAAGCTAAAACTATTTGGCAACGTGTAACGCGTATACGATGTGTGAGGTGAAGAGAAATATAGGCACCAGAAATTAATGTTACTCCTATCAGATACATTGTACAAAGTGTCTGGAGGCCTTGCTGAAAATATATTCATCAATACCCTGAGGAGGGCAGTGCTTACTACATTGTACGGATGGGTATGTGCAGTGGCCTTATCACGAATCATCTGAGCAATATCACCGTTAATGTTCTTTGTGCTTCTGTAACTTTAACCCTTCCCATCAGGAAAGCGAGATTGGGGGCGGGGGGAGGGGGAGATACTTACAAATTGGCTACAACTAATCCGTTCTTTGCACGAGATTCAAAACGCTTTCCAATATTGAATAATAGGTCACATACATTATGCGATAGCTGGCTTTGAATTCTACTTGAGTTGAATGACAAGTCTGACAAATGAGGCCAGGACAAAACATTTTTCCCAGTAGGATCCTTTTTATAAGGCTCATGCTGTAAAACAACACGATGCTATTGTTAGAGGGAAACAAATCAGCACACGAAGCACAGACGCCATATTTGTTTCCGACTAGGCCTTTCATTCCATTACTCTTCAGGTCGAATACAATGGTGATTAACAAGTTAATAATTTACGTGGAATTGAACAGGAATGGAGCTGTTTCTGTGCCCCGGACGTGGGCAGACCAGTGGTGATCATGACTTTCTCTCGCGAAAATGAAACACTTTGTTGAAGGAGAAATATCACCAGGACTTCATGTTACGCAATGGTCCGATATTACATGTAAATTCCGGGGAAAGAAACACACGCCTCAGTATTGTTTTGAAATCCTAGGCTAGTGGAAGAACGCAGTGCCACCAAATTGTTTTGACAAAGACATTTCCAACGTAATGCCCACATACGAAACACTTTCTACTCTGTTCACGTACATTGTACATGTACAAAAGTGGGACCTCCGAACTTTCCTTTTTCCTAAACCAGCCATTTGCCAGGTTCCTGTTTGGGCTGCGCACTCCTAAATGCCCGGTTTGAGTTATTCGACGGCAGTAGGGTAATATTGATAACGTCCTTACATTCAAGCGATCATAGACATGTACATATACGTTGCCACAACCTACCGATTAATAAAAATGAATTGCAACGAGGTAATACTACATATTGGTGATAAATTCTGGAAACTCACCATGAACAGTAATCAGGAGCGCAAGCGTCACCACCCCCGCCAGTACAAGGGAAACAACAGCATTGTTGGCCATCCTTCTTCGTACAAAGAAAATATCAGAGTCTGAAAAGCTTAGCAATTGCCAGCACCACAAAAGTATACTTGCTGAAAGATGCAAGGGAGGAGTAGTAGTTTTGGAAGACCCTTTCCTCCCTTTTATAGGGAAAGGACATAAGAAGACTTTGGCAAAGGGCTAGATCTTCATCACTATCGAACTTGGTAGGCGGGTCTGGACCAGATTCTACTTTGCGGGAATGCTTTGGGGAAAGTGAAGGAATGATGAGTGGGGATTTTTGTGGAAAACTACTTACCGTCGCCAGTGTCAGGACTGATAGTATGCGTACATGTATGTACATGTATGTACAATCATGAACTTTTACATGTGAATGTACAGTACATACATGTACATATACATATGTCTATGCAGTGATAAACCCATCCGCCTGATGTACCGTCCCATGAATCATTGAATGCCTAAGACCGTTGGTAGATTTCTGATATCCACCCATTGGGACACCCCATCTACATGTACACGTATCATGACAACTACGACTCGACTTCTTTCCAGCCGGGAGACAGTGTTCGCGGCGGAGTCGCGTGCTGCGCCCAGTCCTTTGACGTCAACAGGGCCACCCTGCAGCATGGGCATGCCACAAAATCAAAGATTGCCATGGACACACGTGATATGGGTGTAGTGTCAAGGCAAAAGGCTGCTTTTACTCAAGCGCTATTTTTGTCCGTTTGAACACAAACAGTAGCGGAATTTTGTTACGAGCGCAGCGGAAACAGGTCTTCTATGTTTGAATGTTACCGGGATCTTTGGTTGTTCTTTCTCTAGGTTTTATAGTCTGTTGGCAAAGTGGTCATAAATTGTAGGTTGAATCGCTAAAGGGTTCGTAATAATTGAGTTAGGGCAGAGGCTGTTAGTCAATATTATTTCCAATCCCAGAATATTGTTACAGCCTGCCCTGGATGTTCTTATGCTCAACGTTCGGAGTGCTGTTTCTGAAGTTTGGTGGCTGAACTGGAGCTGTCGCTGAATAGTCGCAGTAGTGGACTCGCTGCACTCGTCGCTACGCCTAGCCACCCTACTCGTGCGTATCGATCGGACGAATACTACGTAATGAATCATGATGATCACGTCCTAAGCTCCGTCATTCAGTGGTCACATCAAGGGTTATTTCGTGTATCCTATACGCTAATGGATAGGACATTCCATAAGAGTGAAGTGGATCCTTTGGCCGAGCTGCTTCAGGCTGTACTGTGAGGTGATAATTCCGAAAAAGGCAGTGGGACTTATCAGCGTGACCTGGATCTGGCTGAGCTGTGTAACACCTGCCCTGGGACAGAATGTCGTCGGCGGCCATCATGCCGATCAAATGCGGATATCGGCACAGCCCTCCAAGGCTTGTACTCTGCTACAAACAGGGTAAGCAGGCGCGTGCGCCGGTGCCCTTCAAGGGGGGGCTCCCCTGTGAAAATTTTCAAAACATGAACCAAAATCCTGCATTTTGAGCGAAAAGGGGGGGGGGGGTTCCGGGCACCCAGGAGCCCATACGGGGCACGCGCCTGGTAAGCTGGTGTGCACCGATTGTGCTTTACCAGGGCCGCCAGAAGCAGTTTTTGACTGGTTAGGCCATACCACACTCCACAGCCTTTCATACATTGTGCTGCACTACTTTTCACTACTTTTACTTTAGCTCATACATGTACAATCGTGTACACGTACACTCTTCAAAGCGGTGAACCCCTTGATAGGCGGCAAGCCTCTGGATCACCCTAATACAGATACTATTATGACCGTAAAATCTTAATTTTAAGTAGTTACAGTAAGAACTTAGAAGTTGCGACTTCGGCGATACAGTCAGACCTCGCATAACCGCACACATCCGTTTTCCACAAAAATATCCGGATAGGCGAGGGAACCGGATAATCGAACACACATACTGTATGTATGCGTGGCATATGCTGTAAATCGGTAACCAACGATTTTCTTCCGGATGGCGAGGGATCCGGATAAAAGAGGACCGAATAAGCGAGGTCTGACTGTATTAGTCATGAAGTTGGTTGTTCCAACTAGGAACACACGCAAGTGTCAAGTTCGGCAAGAAGCGTGTGTTCCTGGTTGGAACAACCAACGTTATTTACAGTAAGCTGATTGTAAATTGCCCTCAGAATGTGCATAGATCATGCAATGTGTTTTGTGGTGCTTGAAAACTAAAACCGATTGCGGCAACTTCAACCATATTTGTACCAGGTATGCCAGCAGTGGCCTGTTGGTCTAGGAGTCTCGCTTTGGGTGCGAGAGGTCCCGGGTTCAAATCCCGGACAGGCCCATTTTTTTTGTTCAAAGATCGTAGCTCAATCTTCAAGCTGTCCTCCCCTTCATGAGTGATAGCACCAAGTTTACGAAACCAGGAGTGAGCAAGTCGGCGATCTCTTGGTCCACTGTGACCATTCTTAATGGTGTTCAACTTCAAACTTCAAAGGATGTGTACTACTATCGCAGCACCTGCTGCCCAGGCAGAATATCGGGTGGTACAGAAATGGATCCATGCATCCTGAACCTGCTGACCTAACATCGTATCTAGAAGACGAGTTCTAAAAAGCAGACACACTTGATCATGCTTCTGCCGAAATGAAGCAATAATTGAGCCGACTGAGTTGGTGTTAAACTGCAGAGAAAGTGTTGCTCTTGACTTCACACTACTCAACGCAGCGTCCGATAGAGAGATCACCTCCGCATATTCTGGTTGGGGCGGGGGAGACTCTTGATAATACCATAGAATAATCTGATATTACTAAGAATTTAGAGGAAATGACACATGGTGTTATGGTTACGGCTGGAAAGTGCCAGGCCACGGCTAGTAAGTAGTCATGACAACCCTGACTTTTGGATCCACTGGGATCCACGTTATAAATGAATCGCAGTCATGTCATGTTTGAGTAGTTTTCACACAGTGTGTGTGTGTGTGTGTGTGTGTGTGTGTGTGTGTGTGTGTGTGTATACGTGTGTGTGTATACGTGTGTGTGTATACGTGTGCGTGTGTGTGTGTGTGTGTGTGTATGTCATGATGCACATGTTCATCAGGTGGAAAGACGCGGCAACGGACAATGCCAGTTCGCAATTCAAGCCAGACAGACAGGTAACCAATGCCTTAGTACAGTCAACTTTGAGAGTTTTTTTCTGGTTGTGCTACTCCAGTTGTATTTGGCACAAGTACTGAGGTCCAGAGCACTTCCAAGGTCAGGGCAAGGAGCTTATCAGTAGAATGGCAGGGTGGCGAGGGGGAGTGCACTTGTGTCTGAGTTGTGTGTATGTGCCTGTGTTCAATTGGGGGGGGGGTAGCAGATGAGCTCGTGTTTATATGTGTGTGTGTGTGGGGGGGGGGGGGGCTATCGTATGGGGATGGGTTTGTGTGTGGGTGGGTGTGTACATGCGTATGTTCATGGGGGTGTATTTGTGTGGGTGGGTGTGGGTGGGTGTGGGTGCGCATGTGTGAGGAGGTGCTCGTGTGTGGAACTACACGCAACATAGCTTGTATATGGTATGGCCGGATTAATCTGATGATGAGCGCATGTAACTATATATTCGTATTTGTTTATGTGCATCCTTTCACTTTACCACATGTACTGTATAGCACTTCCCAACTGGTTGATCAGCTGTTGAGCCGACATGCAGACTACCTTACAACAGTGCCCCGTCAACAGGTGAGGACGTGTGTTGTGCGCCGTTAGCCTGATCAAGTTCTTCAGAAATGCGTGCGTTGTGCAAATGTTCAGTCAAACCGGTTTGGATAAGCAACTGTATTCTAGGAACTCTGTGACACTTAGGTTTACAAATGTTGCCGCCGCAACTGCCAACCGTGAGCAGGTTTAAAGCCCGTTTTGCGATGCGATCTGCGACGCAGGAGTGCAATGCGAACTCTCAAAGTACTCGACATGGGAAGCAGCACAGAAGAAGTCAGCGATGCGACGTCGTTTTGCTGATGTGCCTGTGTGAGACGTGGGTGAAATTTGGGGATTTGCTAGTTTTGCGGTCGTCCCCTCACTCCTCACGTCGCTAAAATGATTCTGAGAATCACGTTCAAGGGCTGTCAGTAATAGATACTAAAAGCGCGGATGCTGAAACATGTTACCATCGTGTATGCCATTCACCTTTTCCTGGGATGCTGGTTGATAAGTTGTTGGATGTTGTGCGTGCGTGTGTGTATATGTGTGCGGGTGTGGGTGTGTATGCACGGATATGTGCGTTCGCGCGTCTGTGTACGTGGATGTGCCTGCTTGGCACGTGCATGTGGATGTGCATAACGTTGTTGATCACTTCTATCTTCTCAGATTCATAACCTGGTCGAAAGGCTGCTGGACAGGAAGAGTACGGTACAAATGCCTGGCAAATCTGAAGCCACAACAGCTAAGAAAGCAGTGGCATCGCTTCCCTCACGACCCATCAATAGCAGTTCTTCATCAGATGAAGATGATGACGCAGCCCGAGACCGTCACCAAGTTGCAAGTCCGGTAGGCAGCGGTTCTGCCTCTCCGACTTGGAAAGTGGCAACGCCAACCATCAACCTGAGCAGTAGCAGCAGCAGCAGTCTCGAAGATTTCTCCCGGCAGAAGACTCGTGCACCAGCTGGGGCAGGTGGTATCAATGATGATAATGATGATGACGACGATCCTCTCGGTTTGGCGAACATCACAGCAGCAAGATCAGGCTCGCTGACCACTCGCAAAACGGAACCTTCGAGAAAGACTGAGCAACCCAACGTGAGTGCTAAGCAAAGCAGTGACAGTGACGATGATTCCTTTGCTGGCCTGCAGCCGAAACAGGAACAGCAAGACCGGTTGTCCGCACATGTCGGTAAGAAACCCCACGTACAGTTCAGCACCGGCCAAGACCAGGTGTTTGAAATCAGTCGCGACGGCAGCAGCAGCGACGGCAGTCTCTCTGATCTGGGACTCTCTGACGTCCAGACTGGTACAACGTCATCCGGTAAGGCCGGCGGCGTCTCGACTGAGACACGGCCAAGTGGCTTGACGCCTTCGGACAAGGATAGCACGAAGCAGGCGACGAGCGCTAACCAGGCGCCCCCGCTCACCAGCACGCCTCGCAAAGGGGCTGGCCCACTCGGCTCGCTACCGTCCCTACCCGGCTTATCCCCACTGCCCAGTCTGGCTAACACAGACAACGCCAGCAAGAAGAAAACGAAGAAGAAGGCTGGAAAGGACAAGGCGAAATCGGGCGGAGGAAAGAAAAAGAGCATGGACGCTCTTCTTGGTTTGCTGGATGATGACGACGATGATATCGATGAGGATGCTTTGCCAACCAGCCCTCGCTGCAAGTCTGATCCAGCGCCGAGAGACAGTGACTCGGATTCGCTGCTAGGCGGGCTAGCGAAAGGAGGGCAACATGTGCAGGCAAGAAGTACGGAGTCCAAACGTGTACCTCAACACGTCCAACCCAGCACGAGAGGAACACAAGATGTGCGTTCTCCGGAGCCAAGCGCTTCTTCGGCGAGCGATTTGGATTCGTTCGGATCTCCTATTCAAAAGCGAGCTGCAAGAAATCTAGATCCTGCTCCAGCCTCCAGCCCAGCACAGCCAATGTCCGCACAGCAGCGTGACTTGACTGGTTCGGCGGAAGACTCGCCTTCTGAAATGTCGTTCGGCGAGCCCTCGAAGCCGAACGCCGCCAATAGCACATTGCCCGCCGCGCAAACACTCTCTTCAGGTTCCAGCCTCTCGTCTCTGCTATCGGATAACGAAGCCCAAGACATTGACGAAAGTGATGATGTCACCCCGCCGTCGGTACACGCCGACGAGGATCTGAACAAACTTGACAATGAAACACTCGCTGCCAAGAAGCGTACGATGGACAAAGGTTTCGAAACAAACCGTGTCAAGCCAGGAGACCCTGGCTTTCAGTACGACGTCGAGGAGGACTTTGGTGATCCTGTCGCCGATGGTGACTGCGGCTGGGATGAGGATGACGAGGACGATGAGTGGTAATATTTCTACTCTCATCACCGGGATGACAAACAGGACGAGTAGTAATAGATGTACTCTCATCACCGGGATGAATAAGATGACGAGTGGTAAGATATCTACTCTCCGTCACCGGGTGCTCGAGTAGTGGTGTTGGCATGCGGGCGGAACTGCAGGCTTGAGATTGTTGATTAGCTCTCCAGCCATGCATACCATATCCTGATTCGGGAACCTCTCAACCACTCTCACATTCATGTTGGCCTGCGGGGCTGTGCTCCACCATCATGCTTTTCCTCGTGATGACGATAAATCAATGTTTATCTTTCTTGAATTTGCCACCCTGAGATTGACGTGTGTGTAAGTGAATAATTATATTTTACGTTTGACTGGTAACCATGTACATACGGATATACTGAATGTCACCAAAATTCTTGTGGCAATTTCCCAGTCCATTCTAGATACTTGACCTACTTGCCTGTGAAAATTCAATGTTCGATGACTGTGCAACGTTGATATGGCATGATTGAATCAAGCCCGCCCTGAGTACAACAGTACGAGATAGCGGTAGCGACTCCAGTTCGCTTGGAGGTGACAGCGTTGTGATGACCGAGAGTCCTCAACGCCTGTTCTACCTATCCATTAATGACACTCACTTACGCCGCTATCTAGCGTTCAGAAGATGTTTGTCGCGCTGGAAAAGAAGTGTCTCTGTAAGTTTGCTCCCTGACGATGTTTTTGGCCTGGAAAGCACTATGGAAGCGATGATCATTCAGACTCTGTGCTTATTGTACCAATATGTGCATGCGGAAGTGTGTCCGCAGGTATGGTCAGGTCATTGCTGTTCTGGGACTTGCCATTATCATCGTGAGATACATAAATGACTGGTCCTCTCGCCGGTCCGAGCGCAATTAGGGACTTGTCGAGGTGTTGTTCCTATGTATTGTGTGTGTGTGTGTGTGTGTGTGCATGCGTGGGGGGTTCTTTTAAAAATGTCATGACTGTATTCCGGTACATGTACATGCGTATTGTCTTCGGTACGCGTATTGTCTTCGGCCTGTGTTTGCATTGAACCGTGATCTACTGGCCAGGCTGATCTCTCCCGTATCCTGTAGCCTGTCTGTTATGCTTTTGAACGCATGGCGGGTGTAGTTGTTTCCTGTAGGATGTCAGTAACTTGTATCTAAGTTTAGTCCGAATGTCAACCCTATCATCTGGGTCTAGGGGTGTGCGGATAATGCTCAAAAAGGTGGCAGATTCTGCTCGAAAAGCAGTGAAATTGGCAGAACCATACAAACCATATGGCGGGCAATTCCTCGAATTCTGCTCCATGTCTTTATCCACATACCAAACATGCATGAAACTTACCCCAAAAAGTACCGAATTCTGCCAATTTTTCTGCCGGCATTATCCGAATATGCCTATCTGGGTCCGTGGGTAATTTGTTCCTCTCAAAGTGTCCAGTAACCGGTCCCGGGTGGGTTGGGGTGGTGGGGGAGGGCTGACCCAGCATGGTTAGAGCAAAAAGTACACAGGACATGGGTTGGGTAGGTGGGCGAGGAAAGAGCTCTCGCGTCACCATGGCCACAGGCCGGCCGGAGTCATGACAACGCTGAATTTTGGATCAAGTTGTATGCATGTTTGGGTGGTTTCCTGGGCCATCAAGGTGGGTGACATACCCGCGGGCACTAAATTCATTCGGGCACTGAATTGATTCAGCCGCCCTCCTGGCCGGCCGGCCACCCACTACTACTGCTTGTGCAGTACAAATGTCAAACCAACATGGGAATCAAGAGGTGCATGAAAACTGCATTCAGAATATCTACTCTTGGAAGAATGGATCAACAGTAGAAGTCGTCATTATATTCGTTGACTTCTGACGTCTTCACTTTCAGCTCATACTCATACTCGAGTCATAGCGCTAAAAAAGCCATAACTATGTGGAATTCCCTGCCGCCAGCTTTTCTAGACTCCGCCCCAACTCGCAAAAATCTTCAAAAGTTTAAGTGCAACGTCAACGAATACCTCCGCCGACAGGATTGGCGACGGTCCACGGACATTCTGCCTGTCGATCCACCTACATTCTAGTGCCCCGTCAACGACTCCCATTGCTACGAATGCGCTGCACACTAGTAGCTGTTGCTTGCCCTTGCTTTATTTTTATTTTTGCTGACCCTTACAGCTCTATCTTTTGTTTTTGGTGCGTGTTTCTGGCCGTGATGCCGAGACCTCAGGTCGGCAGAGCCATCAATGCCCCACCATCACTGCTGCACCTCGGTGCAGCCCCTTCTCAGTAGTTGTCACGTTTGTCCTTGTCTCAGTACCATTGTCTCCTGTATTATTTTATGAGTTGGGTATGTGAACATAGTAAAAAAAAAAAAAAAAAAAAAAAAAAAAAAAAAAAAAAAACTATCCTGCATGAAGTCTCGGCAACAGTTTCCATGGCATTACTCCGATTTGAGGCAGGTATAGTGGGATGGTCTAAGACCATGATTGAGAAACAGAGGGTACCAGGTTCAAGTCCTGCTTGGAAGCGGAAGGAATTTTTCCAGCCGTGCTGTGACCCACAGTTAATTGGGAACTCGTGGCCTGGCACGAGGGTAACATGGATGCAGCTAATGGGATTTCGGTCTTTGACCACTTGGTGGTGGGTCTGATCTACTCACCTCCCACCGTTTAGGCGCTGCATCTGCGCCTTTGATCCTAGAGGGTGGTGGCGTTCCCACGGCGGATGCGGAAAACTCGGCTTCCAGCCGAGTCTCACCCCGAGAGTCGTGAAAGTAAAGTGTTTTCACGGACGTTCACGGATCATAGGTGCCTTTCACAACTCCCTGCGCTGGTGTAAACAGTCGTGCTCACCTCCACGTTCCGATTATCTGATGTTTTCACCAGGGAGTCGTATTATACCCATAATTATACGACTCCCTGGTTTTCACTCGCTGAGGTGTGAGGTGTGTGTCAGGATTCCCGCCAACGAGTTACGTGGTAAGGCATTCAGAGCTACCGTCATAGAAAACATCCGTTTTCCTTCACCTGGCAAGTTTTCTTTGCATTCTGCCTTGAGAGGAGTTAGTTTAGTAAACGAGAGCTAGTGACCCGGATAGGACTGTTGCTCGGTTCAAGAGAATGGTTGTTTATCTTACTTTAGCGTTGGAAGCAAGGTCGGCTATGCACTTGACATACATTGAACCGTACATGTAACCAGCCATTTGTTCACCATAAGACTGAGGACGCACCCAGCGTAGATCTACTAAGACTCAGAGTGTAGCGCAGGCAGTGATCACTCCAAGTGGGGAGTCTTGAAAGTCCCTCAATGTCTCATGCAGAGCATGCAGCAGTCGCGGTTGGCATAGCCGCTGCTTACGTGCGGGTGGAGCTCCTCCTTGCTGCTTGTCACACTGTCACTTCCATTCCTGAACGGGTAAGGGCCTTTGTGTCCGTGTTACTCGTACTTTACTTGTTATCGTTGTCGTTGTGTCTGTGCAAGTGTGTGATGGTCAGGAGTGTGTGTGTGTGTGTGCGTGTGTGTGTGTGTGTGTGTGTGTGTGTGTGTGTGTGTGGTGTGTGTGTTTGTGTTTGTCATGGTGTGTGCAAGTGTAGGGTGTGCATAGGTAACTGTCTTGGCCGTTTTATGCCGATGTACTCCGTGTGGTGTAGACCAGGTGTGCATTGGTGGTCGATTCACATGGCTTCGCCAGTTGTGTGGATTAGACAGTTATCTTGCGCAAGTCTTGATCTGTCTTTCAGATCTTGTTTGCTATTGTTGCTATATAAAGAGAAAATCTGTGGGTGCTCATCCATTTGCAGATGTGCGTGCTTCTCTTGCAACGGCGTATACATGCAGTGTCTGCTCTGGGATAGTAGGACAGCCGGGTACACGTGTACCTGGCGCAACCATTTCAACCGGGTCGGAGCCGGGTACACATGTATTCGACGCGCGCCTCTGCATGATCTGTCACACATACAGGCCATGTAGTCAGTCCTTTCAAAGTTCGAACGTGTATTGTACCAACCGGGTCACAGGTGACCCGGTACTATATTTTCAACCGGGTCCAAGCGCCTCCTGTTATTCTGCCTCCCGCCAGTCAAGTCGATCTCAGGTCGGGTCAAACCGTGACTTTTCAATGATGATGATTCCACGCAGGTCCACCCTACTGGAATCTTGTCATCGTTTCTGAGGGCCACATGCTGGTCTTGACGGCAGCACTGGGACAAATAAGACAATCCATGGCATACACACATCATACATTCACTCACACACACGAATGCACGCACGCTTGCACACACACAACACAACAACACAATACAGACAACACAGACACACACAAATACATACAAACGCTCACACGCACACACACACACACACACACACACACACACACACACACACACACACACTCCATGTACAATGAATACGCCGGTCGCAAGAGAAGCGGATCTGATTCTGAAAAAAAACAGATCAAGACTAGCGGCAGATAACTGCATGTCTAATAGACACAACTGGCGAAGCCACACACACACGCACGCACACACACGCACATACACAAACACACGCACGCACATACAGAAGCACACTCACACGTTCACCATTACCTTACAGCAGCGGAGGTCATGATAGTGAAAATACAAAAGAACACATGCACCGTTCCACAGTTTGCAGGGCTGAAAAAATTGACAACCACTATTCAGCCTGGTCTACACCACAAACCTTCTGAAGAAGTTTTTTCGTGCCAATGAATTGTAGTAAACACAGCGTACACGCATGCACACACGCGCGCACACACCAACACACACCGATACAGAGAGAGAGAGAGAGAGAGAGAGAGAGAGAGAGAGAGAGAGAGAGAGAGAGAGAGAGAGAGAGAGAGAGAGAGAGAGAGAGAGAGAGAGAGAGAGAGAGAGAGAGAGAGAGAGAGAGAGAGAGAGAGAGAGAGAGAGAGAGAGAGAGAGAGAGAGAGAGAGAGAGAGAGAGAGAGAGAGAGAGAGAGAGAGAGAGAGAGAGAAAGAGAGAGAGAAAGAGAGAAAGAGAGAGAGAAAGAGAGAGAGAAAGAGAGAGAGAAAGAGAGAGAGAAAGAGAGAGAGACAGACAGAAATAGAGAAAGAGAGAAAGAGAGAGAGAGAGAGAGAGAGAGAGAGAGAGAGAGAGAGAGAGAGAGATACAGAGAGACAAAGAGACAAAGAGACAGCGGCAGAGAGACAGAGATACAAACAGACAACCCAGAAAGACAGAGAGAGAGAGAGATACAGAGAGACAAACAGACAGCCAGAAAGACAGAGAGACAGACAGAGAAAGGCCAGGGAGAGGTAACAAAGGAGAAACAGGGAGAAGACACCACCAAGTAGTGGACATGTATTTTTTGGTACCGAACAAACACAATACCTCACAAATCAGCTAATGTAGTTACAAGTAGTGACTGTGTAGGTATCATGCAAACAGATAACGGTTCTTTTTTCGTAAACAGTTACATAGCCGGTGAACCGACCTAACCATTTCACCTCTAGCATTTTGGGCAAACTTGATACGGTGTCATTTTACGCCATTCAAATAAGTAAGATAAATACTGGAGGTCAGGTTAGAAAATAATCCAGTTCCACGCAGTGCCAGCACGGGAACGAAACAAAGAGGTGAAAATGACGACGAAAGACCAGCTTGTTCGCACGACGCTAATTTTCGTGATAAACATGTTGAGGAATTTTAGGCTAACGGAATGCAAGTGGATATACTTGAACTGGGTAGCATACTAGCAAGTGAGAGAAACTGGCGTTGAAAACTCTCATGCATTGCAGCAGCATGACCTGGAGTCGGGTCAGTGTACATGGCGCACAGAAAAATCAAAGAAAGCCGTAGTTGACTTCCGTCACGAGCTTCTATTGATAATTGTGACAAGAAAACATTCTGGAACAATTTAGTCGTTGCTAGGATTGTGACATGCGGGCACATATCGTGTTATTCATTGTTTTATAAAGCCCTATGTCTGTGGAAAGTGCCAAGTGGCCGTTCAATGTTACCGTGGCTATCGACCTTCACCGGTACACTGCGTAATACATGCACTGCCACTGCAGTGCATGCACGGCGTCGGTGGAACATCCCATGAAGATAAGATAGTGTGCAGACTTACCCGCCCTTGATTGGCCGGGCTCAGGTCACTGAGGAACATAAAATGTCAGTCATCATTGCACACCACTTGCAGCGGTTCATTCCGCGCGCGTCATCACGTCCACAAGCTCACGCACACAATGCTGCAACGTTCAGCACATAGCGAGAATGGCGAGAGTAGAGTTTGTTTGGGGGGGGGGGGGGAGCATGCATTTCCCGTGGCGTATCGCTCACCCTGGTGGACGCAGTAGTTAGATCCTCACAGCTCAGCAACACTTGGCCGCGACGGGGCACAACATGGCATCGACTCCACCGTACCCGTGAACCGTATCACTATTCAGCATCCACTCAATGTCTTGGGAACGCGAAGGCATCATGTCTGTGTTCGTGCACGGATGATGTGCGCCAGCTCCGGAAAGGCCGACTGCATGAAGTGATTTCGATCTTCAAACTCCTGCAAATCCACCTCGCCGTGCTGCCGCAGTTCAGCAGTTACCTTCAACTGCTCTGAGAACGGCACCAGGTGATCATCTTTGGAGGCAAACTGCACGATGAAACTACTGTTGCTGGAGATCGCCTGCCAGTTCCATTCGCCATCGAAGTACCCACTGGCCGCCTCCACACTATCACCAAGGTCGGAAAGATACGCTGAGACGAGGATAATGCCACGAACGCGATGAGTCTCGGCATAGCGCAGGGCAGCAACAGCGCCTGAGCTGTGACCAACTACGACCGTGGACTCGTCGCAGCGCAAACTCTTCTGCATGAACGGCAGCCACACAGAACTCTTGGCGTAGTAAGGATCTGGCATGTCGCGAAGGCGACATTCGATTCCCGGCTGAAGCTCGTCCTGCAGCCAGCCATACCAGTTGCAGCTTCTGATGTCTCCACCAGCGCCGTTCCCTGGGATAATTGCTACGTTTAGTTTCGCCATGTAAGCTAGCTTTCTTGTAACTGAAGGGGAAGGACACCTGCTCCGAAACAACAAACAAAATTTTGAAATATTCACTGCAAACATTACGTATGTCATGTTCTTGAAATGAGAACATTTTTAACACAATAAAAATAATTCTAAATCTTGATTGAAAGTGCAGTGTTTCAAAAAACGAAAGACGTCATCGACCCCGTAGTCCGTACCGTACCGTACCGGTCCGGCACTGCAGCATGCAGGCCAGCTGTAGTGTTGACGATGTCAGTGATCATGCCTTTCATGGTGATGCTGGATGATGCTGCAGTAGCAGCTACACCGCACACACAGTGACCTGTACAGACAGTCAGTCCTGCACTCAGATACGTCATGCATGTAGATCTGTTCCGGCCCGTCCGTCGATTCTGCCCATCCTAAGATGGGCATGTGCCCATCTTAGGATGGGTTGAGGGGGTGCCCATCCTAGGATGGGATAGGTTCGATTGATGGAGATCCGGTTTTTTCGTTTTCCCGCCGAAAACGTGCTTTTATAAATTTATAAACGTGGTTTATAATATTATACTTTTTTTCTTTCTTTTTTGGGAGCGTGGATCAGAAGTACAGTAGACATTACTAGTCCGGATGAGTCAGAGCGTGGGCGATTCACGGCTTGGTCTGGAACGTAAATATTTTTCCGAAAGCAAGCTTCTTCTCCAAAATTCGAAATTTCCTTCCAAAAATGCCGTCGTCCTTGACCTCGAAGCTGAATGTTGTTAGGATAGAAAATTAGCGAAGATGTAGCCGACCCATTCTGGCAAGCCGTGTGCCCTCTGGATATGCAGTTGTTCGCCATGGTCAACAATCTTCTTCTCCTTCGTTCGTACTTTCACTTTCCTGACCACGAATACAAGCGGTACCCATGCTCAGGTTAGTGTTTATTTGTCTGTCTATGCACATACATGTAATACAATGTACTGTTCGTGCTGCAGGCACTGGCCGATCATGGAAATAGAGGAAGCAGCCAGCTTTCTTTGAATTCTCGTGCTTTCAACAAAAAATATGTACACGCTTTCCTTGGCTCCTCTTTCCCACCGCCACCATGCATGCACAATCGAGCTTGCTTGAATGCCCTGCAGTGCAGAATGCTCCCACCACCGCAACCACCACCAGCACCACCACCACCACCACCATGACTACCACCACCACCACCACCATGACCACCATCACCGTGACCACCACTATAGAAGCATTGTCGTGCACGGCACGTCTGCAAGAGAAATTAATAGTATGCCAGTGCTGTAATACCCTGCAGTGCAGTCTGCTCCCGCCACCACCACTATGGAAGCATTGTCACGCACTGTACATCGATCCACACGAGAACATACGCCAGTGACTTACTAGCACCTCCATGCTGCATGCGGACCATTTCGTGAAAATTATCGATAATGCTGGATAGCTCCTTAGTCTATGCAATAAAATAGTTGTTTTCTTCGCACAGTACCGTTTAAACAATATCCGGCCAGGTTTGTACCGAACATTTTTTCGAAAGGTAATTTCTCAAATGTTGCCTTGAGTACATTCTCAGCAACATTGCGGGCCAGTTTCAAATAATTGGACTGCAAACTTGCATCGCTGGTTGTTGCAGCTCCATCACAGGTCGTATCGCAGGAAATTGAGTCCAGCTCCACTTCTAGGTTGGGTGACACGTGATGGGCATCACTTCCTGCATTCTGGTGCATGTGACTCAAGAGCTCTGGCTGGCAAGCAGTTTTAGATTGCAGGTGGAATACAAGATTTTCTGCGATGTGCTATGCATTGTGCATTGCATTTCTCGAGAGACACTTCACGCTATGTGAAAAAAAGAATTTCGCTCGATGTGGTATTGTGCATCGTGCAGTGCAACTTTCCCACAAAACTGGACTCAAAGCACCTTATAGCTGTGGTTTACAGCAAAGATTTTCCTATTTGCGACTCTTGGTTTAATGGCTGCAGTAGCATGCATGTGCCTGGTGATAGTGTTGCAATGGATCATAGTGAGGGTGTAGCAGTACTTGTGCACTGATAGTTGGTAATGGCATGAGTACATAACCAAGAGTGGGCAACTCGATGATCCCTCTGCCCACGGCAGAAAGTTTCATCACTTCAGTTTTTGTGGGCCATTGGGCTCACTAATACCATCATGCATAGCCAGAGATCAAAACTTGTACATCACAGCTACGGTAGTTGAAGCAGAACAATGAACTGTGGATCCATGCCTACTGAACCTGATGAAACACTCTATCTACATGGCACATGTAGAAATATATGCGCGCTTGCTCATAATCATTGGATTTCGAAGCCGATCGTACCTTGTGTTAGTAGTTGCACATTCTTAGCAGTTATGTAGTTTGATCATAACGTTACGATAGATTATCAATACTGGTGGAAACGTTATACTGGTTGCATATTTTGTACCCGGTGTGCCATGACCAGGCATGCTAATTCATCGGATATTAGCAAGTTTGCCTGGCTGCTGGGTGTTGTATCTTAGCTTCACTGTACTACAAATACGATAGGCTTAGTTTTCCTAAATTGCTTCTTTATAACATTCAGTTTGTTTTGCTGCAATCTTTTCACGTGTTTTGCAGGATTGTAGCCAGGGTGAATACCATCATCATGGGCGAAGGTCTCTGAGAACCCATGTCTGAAAGCTGGTCATGTTGGCCCAACGATGACTTTCATTGCCTGTATCCGTCGCCTTCATACTGGAATGAACTGGAACATGTTCCCTCTCTGTTTCTCATGTGGAAGGACGGAACAGATTGTTTGGCTGTCTCTGTGGATCACCGAAGGCTGAACAGTACAGTTGGAAGAATATTGGATCTCACGAAGTGACTGAATCTGAAGCCGCTGATATGCATCTGCACAGCGCTTTCTTTCTGAGATTTGCTTCAAGGCAGGTTATTGTGTACAATTTTGTCCACAGTATTCCTATATTTGCCAAACGTATTTCTCTGATAGTATTGTGACTACACACGCGCAATGATCTCTCCATCATCAGTCTTTCGCAATGGTGTGGCTCACTGATGACAGCATGCATAGCCATAGATCAAATGAGCAGCTAAGGTAGTTGAAGCAGAAGAATGGATCAATGCATCCTGAACCTGGGGTACTGCCTATATGCACTCTCAGTAGTATTTGTAACGTGTTAACTATGAAGTATCAACATTGCTTCTCTTCTATGTGGGTGGTGTGAGTGATGTCAGATGGTCTGTACTGCCATGGCCGATGGTGTTCACTGGAAGATGTTGGGTTGGGCCATTGTGCCCTCTTGCAATATGCTGTTGCAGCCTGAAGGCAATGAAAAAGTTCGAATGCTGATCTGCTTTCAAGCGTAGAATGTCACATTATGTGCATTACATATTTGCATAATTATGTTTTGTACTGGAGTGTGAATGTGCGGCAAGGGCATGCACATGTAAGTATATCGCACTGCAAACAGCCTAAGAGTTCACGTGGTATGTGATAAGTACACTTTTGGAAAGTGCGTGCACGGTCGAATCATGTGATGTTAAAACAGCCTTCGTGCTCCTCCCTGAATGGCTGCACAAGTAGAAATCTCCGTCTTCCTTTGCTTCTTTTTGCTTGAGCTGGCATGGTGGTCGTAGAGTTGGAAATTGTCAAGTATGATAACAATCGTTTGGTCTGGAGACAAGAATGCATTTGGATATTTGTCCCAGGACTGCATGGCTTCCCAAACTGCATGTTGAATGCCATAGATGATTATTGTTCGGTTCAAGAAAGGACTCGTGGGTCTGTCTGGCTATTGTGAGCTCTCGCTAGTCCATTTCCATAGCACTTGCTCTGGATTCACTCGCTGGAATATTCTCCAGTATAGAACAAGAAGTTTAGAAAACCTACTGGTGATATTAGTACCGGTATGTTGGACTAGTTTCTCCGCACTGTACCGCAGTTTTTGTTATCACCCACATGTGCGTTATATAGTTTATCTACAATCCAGCATGATGTTCTTCCAAGAACGCCCCCGACCTAGGCCCTCGGAACGACGTTCTTGGGTGTGCAACATCACGTATAGTTCTAAATCGTAGAATTTAGCGCAGGATTTTAGTGATCACGGTTCCAAATGCATGTCATTGCACTCCATCTTTGGGATTAATTAAGAGCTGCATGCATGCCAAAGCTTGTCATAAAAGAAGAGCAGACTTTAATAGGCATCTTGTACGCATGATTTCTAAAATGTAACATCCCTGCCGAAGAGTATTCTTCCATACTACAGTAGAGTCAAGCGTCCAAGAACGTTGTGTCCAAGAGGTTAGCCTAGGGTGTTCTTATTTTTCAGCCATCCGGCTGCGCTCTTATAGCATGTTCTTAGAAACAATCATGTTAGGATCATAATTATGTATCCCAAAAGCTGCCGGAAAACCAACACCGCCATTCTTAACTTTAGGCGGTGGCGTTCTTAGCATTTCAGGCTGGACATTCTTCGGCGCCTGACTCTACTGTCTTTAGTACTGTACATGAAATACACCTACTACAACTGTAGTAATATAGAATGCCGATTATCCGAATGATTGATTGTCCGAACTGCTCAGGCTGCATGGCAGCAGGCTGTCATCAACATGCATCCCATGATAATTTCGAGGAGCTGGAGTGTGTGCCGAAAAGAATGAGAAATATGCATGAGGAAATGAGTATGTTTTAGATGAGTGTTTTCCCACGCCCTTATCCGAACATACATGCACTCGATCGCCATAACCACTGGAGGTGACTCCATTCAAAGAGGAGTGCAGACCAACGGAGCTCTTAATATACTTTAAAGCAAAGCAAACACGACACACACAGCTTCAGAACCTGAGGGAGCATGATATGGGTATGTCACAAGTACTCCCAGGTCCCGAAGCTTTCGTCTCCACAAAGGATCATAATCGACGACTTGCAATGAACTACATTTTGGCGGTATTATACCGTACTTGTTTACATTCAATTTAGGAATGAGGTTAAAGCATGAGAACTATCCACAGCAGACA